TTTCAGGGCCAGATTCGTTGACTTAACAAGGAGTTCACAGTGGGAGTCACAGGCCCTAGCTCCGCTGGAGCCCTGGGCCTTTGAGACTCTCTGTGTGCTGTTTGGTGAGTTATTGTTCTCCCTGGGCTTTAGTTAGGGACTCAGTAAAACTAAAGGATTGGTTGGCCTAGTGACTTTCATATCACTTCTCAGACCCCCAGGCTTCCTTGGAAGGCCCCCAGGGCCCTCAGCTCCAGCTCCCCATCGGAACACCTCCAGTTTCAGCAGCTTCACTTAGCCAGCTGTCACAGCTTCCTTTTGAAGTAAGCTTTCTGCAGCTCTAAAAAGGAGTTTCACAAGAAACTTGGAGTAGACAATCAGTTCTGAGATCCTGTAGTGGCCAATTCTTGATAAATTTGGTAATTCATGTGCAATTCTTTTTGGGGGGCATATATTTTGACATTTGCCTTTAAAGATTAATATCCATTGTTCTGATTATGAAAGTAATAGATACATATTGTAGAAAATACATCCAACTCTCAGGTATCTCTTATGAGGACCCCAATCCTAATCCATTTTAATGAAGTGAGCTTCATGAGGTTAGTCATAAATATTTTCAGTAGCAGACCTGGGGTAGGAACTGTGTAGCCCATGGCAATAAGGATGTGTGTGTCTGTGTTTCTTTATGAGGCTTCCATCCTCCTGTCTGCACAGGAGTGTGTGTTACCGCCTGCCAGGTCATTCTTTCATTCTCTCTTTCTCTCAAATCTTAACCCATCCATGTCACATTTCAGCAAGCTCCTACTTTTTGCTATCTGTTAAAGATTAAAGCAACTCGTCCCCAGTGTGATTCCATCCCACATGGCTGTTCTTTAGAGCAGTGGTTGTTTATCTCCGTCCGCCTTCTCGTCCGCCTAAGTGCGTGCTGCCACCCAATGGAAGATTCAGTGGACATGGGCATGAGCCCCCTGAGGCCTCAGAACTGTCTTTTCAGTTGTGAACTAAAGGCTGACAAAGATTATCACTTTAAGGTGGATAATGATGAAAATGAGCACCAGTTATCTTTTTTTTTTTTTTTTTGAGACGGAGCTTGTTACCCAGACTGGAGTGCAATGGCGCGATCTCGGCTCACTGCAACCGCCGCCTCCTGGGTTCAGGCAATTCTCCTGCCTCAGCCTCCCGAGTAGCTGGGATTACAGGCATGCGCCACCATGCCCAGATAATTTTTTGTATATTTTTTAGTAGAGACGGGGTTTCACCATGTTGACCAGGATGGTCTCGATCTCTTGACCTTGTGATCCACCCGCCTCGGCCTCCCAAAGTGCTGGGATTACAGGCTTGAGCCACCGCGCCCGGCCGGCGAGCACCAGTTATCTTTAAGAACAGTTTAGGAGCTGGTGCAAAGGATGAATTGCACATTGTTGAAGCAGAGGCAATGAATTACGAGGCAGTCCAATTAAAGTAACCCTGGCAATGTTGAAAATGTCTGTACAGCCAACAGTTTCCCTTGGGGACTTTGAAATAACACCACCAGTGGTCTTACGGTTGAAGTGTGGTTCAGGGCCTGTGCATATGAGTGGACAATGCTTAGTAGCTGTGGAGGAAGAGGCACAGTCAGAAGATAGAGGAAGAGGATGGGAAACTCTTAACTATATCTGGAAAGCAGTCTACCCCTGGAGGTGGTAGCAAGATGATGTACATGATGATGATGATGATTTTGATGATGAGGAAACTGAAAAAAAAGCACCAGTGAAGAAATCTGTATGAGATACTCCAGCCAAAAATGCACAAAGTCAAATCAGAGTGGAAAAGACTCAAAACCATCATCAATACCATGATCAAAAGGATGAGAATCCTTCAAAAAACGAGAAAAACCTCCTACAACACCAAAAGGACCTAGTTCTATAGAAGACATTAAAGCAAAAATGCAAGCAAGTATAGACAAAGATAGTTTTCTTCCCAAAGTGGAAGCCAAGTTCATCAATTATGTGAAGAATTGCTTCCAGATGAGTGACCAGGAGGCTCTTCAAGATCTTGGGCAGTGGAGGAAGTCTCTTTAAGAAAACAGTTTAAACAATTTGTTAAAAATTTTTTGTTTCATTTCATTTCTGTAACAGTTGATATCTGACTGTCCTTTTTATAATGCAGAGTGAGAACTTTCCCTACCATGTTTGATAAATGTTGTCCAGGTTCCATTGCCACAAATGTGTGGTCCAAAATGCCTATAGTTTTTAAGATGGAACTCCACCCTTTGCCTGGTTTTAAGTATGTGTGGAATGTTATGATAGGACATAGTAGTAGAGGTGGTCAGACGTGGAAATGGTGGGGAGACAAAAATATATGTGTGAAATAAAACTTAGTATTTTAATTAAAAAAAAAGGGTTAAAGCCACTCAAATGATTTAGGAGTAGTCATGACTGTTATCCATCCAGTGACTTTTTTGTTTTATTGATTAAGGAAGGCAATTTATATTAACTAATAGGTAGGTCCCTCATCCAACATGTCCTAGTCTAGTACTTGTACCCTGAACTTTGGGTTTGTTTTTGTTTTTGTTTTTGTTTTTGCCTTTGAGATGGAGTTTCACTCTTGTCACCCAGGCTGGGGTGCAGTGGTGTGATCTCGGCTCACTGCAACTTCCACCTCCTGGATTCAAGCAATTCTCCTTCCTCAGCCTCCTGAGTAGTTGGGATCACAGGTGCGCACCACCATGTCCAGCTAATTTTTGTATTTTTAGTAGAGATGGGGTTTAACCACATTACCCAGGCTGGTCTCCAACTCCTGTGCTGGGATTCCAGGTGTAAGTCACTGTGCCCAGCCTGTTTTCTTATTCTTTATTTCCCCCAGCATTTTTATATGAACATCTTTAGCAATGTTCAAAGAACTTTACAGGCCAGGCATGATGGCTCATGCCTGAAGTCTCAGCACTTTGGGAGGCTAAGAAAGGAGGATCACTTGAATCCAGGAGTTCAAGGCTGCAGTGAGCTATGATCATGTCACTGCATTCCAGCCTGGGCCACAAAACTAGATCCTGTCTCTTAAAAAAAGAAAGAAAGAAAGAAAGAAATGAAAAAGTATTTTATAGTGAGCACCTGTTTTACCACCTGGATTCTGGCATGGACATTTTACCATATTCATTGTATCACATGACTATGCATCTTTCTGTCCTTCTATCCGACCTTCAATTCATCCTATTTCTTTGAAGCATCTTAGAGTAAATCATATATCAATACACCTTCTAAATATTTTAGTATGCATATTAACTAGAGTTCCATATTTGTTTAATTTCTGTGTATAATTTACAGACGATAAAATGCACAAACCTTAAGTCTGCATTGTCAGAGGTTTGAAAAGCCCTTAACCCCTATGTAGCCCAAGCCCCATCAAGATACAGAATGTTACCATCACTCCCAGAAGATCCCCTTGTACACCTTGAGTCACTCCCTGGCCTCAGCCACCCACCCTCAGAGGCAACTACTGCTGTGAATTTTTTCCCAGCATGCATTAGTTTTAGCTGTTCCAGAACTTGATTTGAAGAGACTCAGAGGAAGTGCTCATTTGGGTAAGGCTTCTTTAACTCAGCACACTTTGGTGACTCACCCATACTCTTGCTTAGATCAGTAGTTCATTCCTTTTTATGGGTAAGTTGTATTTCATTGTGTGGGTATATGTGGTGTTTTTTTAAATTCATTCTCATAAATGGGCATTTAGTCTGTTTCTAATTTTTGGCCATTATCAGTAAAGTTACTATGTCCTGGCCGGGTGCGGTGGCTCAAGCCTGTAATCCCAGCACTTTGGGAGGCCGAGGCAGGTGGATCACGAAGTCAAGAGATCGAGACTATCCTGGTCAACAAGGTGAAACCCTGTCTCTACTAAAAATACAAAAAATTAGCTGGGCATGGTGGCGCGTGCCTGTAATCCCAGCTACTCAGGAGGCTGAGGCGGGAGAATTGCTTGAACCCAGGAGGCAGAGGTTGCGGTGAGCCGAGATCGAGCCATTGCACTCCAGCCTGGGTAACAAGAGTGAAACTCCGTCTTAAAAAAAAAAAAAAAAAAAAAAAAAGTTACTATGTCTCATATCACAGAATTTATATATCATTCTTTTGAGGGAGTATATATTTTGTTATTTGCCTTTAAGGATTAATATTCATTGTTCTGATTATAAAAGTAATAGATGCATATGGTAGAAAAATACATCAAACTCTCAGGTGTCTCTTATAAGGGCACTAATTTTAAAATCCTATTGGGTCAGTGGGCTCACCCTTAGGACCTCATTTAACCTTAATTACCTTCTGAAGACCCTGCCTCCAAATATAGTCCGTTGGGAGTAGGGCATCAGCATATGAATTTGGGGGACGCACAGTTCAGCCCTCAGCAACATGGCTCTACCTATAAAGACTTGTACATCGGCGCTGAGCCCGGCGTGCCAGTTGCCTGCCGGGAATTGAGCTGGGTGGCTGTCTGGACTTTCACATTTCCCACTGTGGGGATCCTTGATAGCCCACCAGTGTGGTAAGATGATGATGGCATTGCTGTAACAGTACTTTCGTAGCATTTTACAAAGTTCTTTGAAGTATGAAGTCTAATTTAACCTCCCACTGAACTTGTGAAATAGTTGTGCTGATTTTATGGATGAGAAAAATGAGGCACTAGAAGTTAAATGTGTGGCCCAGAGCTTCATAGTCAATCCGTGGTGAAAGAAATTCCTCTCCTCTAACCCTGTACGCAGCCCTGAGATGTTTCCATTAAGGGACTCACGAATTTCTTTCCCACATCTACGCTTTCAGCGTTCAGGGTTTATCTAGGAGGCTTTGGGGGTTCCATTGCCTGTAAAGTGAGACAGCCAGCCAGGCCTGGTGCGTCGCAGGTGCATGAAAGATCACCTCATCAGCAAAATTAGATAGACGTATTCCTAGTGAGGGAGCGGAGCTAGTGGACAGAAAGAAACCTTCCTGCGTCTAACCATGCAGTGATCTATGCTTTTAAAGTCCTGAAGGTTAAGCTTTTCTTTTTCTGTTGGTCAGTACAACAGGGTTTGGATTCCTGATCCTGAAGAAGTTTGGAAGTCTGCTGAAATAGCCAAGGACTACAGAGTTGGTGACAAGATCCTGCGGCTCCTGCTGGAGGATGGAACGGTGAGGGTCCTTGCTGTTCGTAGCTCTGATGATGTATAAAGCGGTAGCTGGGGTGTGTGTGAGGACAGGGGCCCATGGACCCCCATGTGGGATGTGGGAGGAGCCCGGGGAGGGTGCACGTGTGGGCACCAGCACCATCTTCAAATGCCCGCTGGTGCCAGGAGTCACTGATGTGTCTGTACTCCTTCCCTCCCACCCGGTGCTGCCCTGTGTCCACGGGGCCTCTCTCTGTAATGATGGCCCAGCTGCAGGAGCCAGGTCTGTGCCCAGTGTTGCATTTCCAGGCACCCAGCATTGCTGGGAGAAGGCTGAAAAGTGAGTCACCATTTTGGCTCTATGAGTCTCAGCCCAGGGATTGGGCAAAGATGAAAAACTTTTTTGAGCCCAAGGCATACATACACTGGTGGAGAAAAAAACCTCAAGATGGGAAGGGGAGGAAAATGAGAAGAGGGAGAGAGAAAATAAGGCAAGGAGTGGGAGGAGATGACGTACAGAAATGTGTAAGGGAGGGAGTGTGGCAGGGACAAGAAGGCAGGGATGCCCAGCTTTGTGTGACATTGTGAGGCGCCTCTGCTGGTACTGGTGTGCTGAGGGGGAGGTGCAGATGAACTTTAGCAATTGCTCCCGTGGTGGGATGAGCCAGAGAGGAGCTTCCCTGCAAGGCTGCATGTGCCTTCCGATGACGCAGCTTCTGAAGACTTTGCATTTGCTTTGAGTGCTCCTCATGAGTCGATCTTGCCTGCCATTGCTGTGATATCCCGCTAGATTTGTAGCCAGGATGATTGGATGAGTTTAGAATCAAGTATCTGGATACAGAACTGGGCAGGAGATTTGTGCACCATCTAGATCCCAGCAGTGGGTCTGGGGAATGTCATGTGAGGATTAACTGATAAATTATGTACATGGGTTCTGCAGAGACAGGACACACTATTTGTAATCAGATGTGGTCTGGATTTGGGAGACATTTCCTGAGATCTTGGGAAGAGAGAACATACATCCTCTAGAATCGGACTATCTGGTTCAGATCCTGGCATGGCCACCTGTTGAGTCTTTAACAGCAGGCCCCCATTATTCTCATAGGTACTAAGGAGGTAATGACTGTGCACTGTCCCAGGGCTGCGGAAGTGTGATGAGACAATCCTGTGTGCACGTGTGAAGGCAGGAGCCGTGGGAAGAGGTTGCTGCTCCCTGGGGCTTCCCTTCCCAGCAGGAGCTCCTCGCAGCTTTTATTGAGTATCTCCTGTGCACAGTCTAGGCTCTGACTAGGGATCAGATAGCTTTGTCTGGGGAGGAAAATCTCAAGGCAGCAGCTGCAGTGGCAGTTTGCTGCTTTAGTAATACCTGCAGGGCCTCAGGCAGCTACGTTCCTGGCCTTGACCCAGCTGCAGAGGCCAGTAGGATGGCAGGCAGCCAGACGGCTCTTGAACTCAACCCTTTGTCAGTACCATGAGAGACAAAGCCCGTGTGCTGTAGGACAGCGTCACCTCTGCCTCCACCTGTCAGCATAATGTTCATCATGTTTCCTCCCCTCCCCCAAAGACTGCAGGTCCCGTCTTTCTGTTTCTCTGTTGTTTTCACACATAACATACACAGAGGCCAAACCAGAAGTGGGGGTTATGGATGTACAACTGAAAAGCAGAGGCAGGGAAAGTAAATATGTACGAGAAGCATTTTTCCTGATTTTGTTCTCAAAATAAAAGTGTTTAGGTTGAGTATATTCTGGTCGGGGTTAGGTCACAATGCAATTGCATTGGTAACGGGAGCGGGAGGTAGCCTGAGGACCCACGTCCAGGTGTGGATTGCCCTGAACTGCTTGCTTTACGCAGAACAGACCAACAAGCAAGACCCCTGCCAGCGTCAACAAGGAGGCACTGTGCTAGTGAAAGAGCACAGGCTTCAGAGTGAGGCCCAGATGAGCTGCCTGACCTTGGACAATAAACTCAATCTTTCAAATGAATGTTTCATTCATTTTCTTGGTTGGGGTAGTCCCATCTTCCCTGGAGGGCAGTTTTGAGGATTAAGTGGAACAGTCCATGCTGAGTGCTTGCCATGGGTCATCACAGTGGCACTTGCTAAGGGGCAGCTGGGCCACCTTGTGGAGCTGGTCTAGGATCAGAGATCAGAAGGAGTCCAGAGATGCTGACTGAGTAGCAGGAAGGCAGCCTGGGAAGGTGGAAGAGAAACAAGCTTGCTGGGGAGCCAGCTCAAGTCGCTTTAGTGGGGCTTCTCTTCCCACAGCAGTGAAATGGGAGTGTAGGAATTAGAATACGCTGACATTGGGAAGGCCCAGCCGTCTGCGGCATAGATGCCATGGGGCATGCTCAGTTCACCTTCATTCTGCTCCACTTTAGGAACACTAGGTTAAATCTAGCAGAAGAGGAGCGCGCCTAGGAAAATTACTTGGCCCAGGGCTGAGAATGATAGGAATAGACAGGCCTGCTGGGGAGCTATGAGCCCGTGGGCATGTGGGCGGCTGCAGACAGGAGATACCTGCACTGGGGGCTTTCACAGAGAGACCACCACCTACATGGACTCCTTTAGGTGTTTGTCACCACCAAGTGTGTCATCTTTTAGCAGAGACTTAACAACCTTAGAGCTTAAGGGACCTTAGTTCATTGTGTTGTTTTAACTGCAGCATCTTGTCTTTAAATGAAAACTTGCATGGCCTCAACATTTAAACCACATACAGCTAAAGCCTCTGTGGGAGATTCAGGAGGGAGCACCTGGATCTCTGCCCATATAGCTTCCCCAGCACCTTTTACTGAGGCCTCTGTAGCTCTGAGGACCCCTGGTCTGGTCTAGCTCCTCTTCACGGATGAAAGAAGTGAGGCCCAGAGAGGGTGAGTGACTTGCTCAAGTGCACACAGCCAGTGCCCTTGTCCCCTGCTTTTCATTATTCCAGGAGTCAGCTGTGAAGATTTTCTTGTTGCTATACATACATTTGCTTTTCAGGGTCAGTGATGACTGGAGTGGAAGGGTGGGTGGGACAAAGGACAGTGCTTCAGCAGAGACACCAAACATCTTTTCTTTCCAGAGCTTTCATTTTCCCTTTGTCCACAGGAGCTGGATTATTCCGTCGATCCAGAATCTCTGCCTCCGCTTCGGAATCCTGACATCCTTGTGGGCGAGAATGACCTCACGGCCCTCAGCTATCTCCACGAGCCCGCAGTGCTCCACAACCTCAGAATCCGCTTTGCAGAATCCAAGCTTATTTACACCTACAGTGGTAAGGAGAGCATTTCTAGGAGGTGAGGAACGGTGCTGGAATGTGAGCGTGCTGTCTAGAGCCTTCTGGTTGTTCTGTGTTTATGCTGAGCACCCAGCGTTTGTTGTAAACAGTGGCTAGGTGGGGAGAATCTTCAACAAGAAGTAAGACTGGAAAAAGAGATGTAACAAAGCTAGTGTCTGAGTTTCTCATCGGAGTTGATACATTCATTACTTATTTTGGGCAATGACATTATTTACATCATGAATTGCAAAAGTCTCTCTGTTTGGGGGCATTTCCACCTGTCCTGTCATCCAACCATCAGACCAGCTTGGGGGTATAGATGACTGGCAGGGAATTAATTCAGTGCATAAAGTGACCTGCCCAAAGTCACACAAAGGGTTTAATGAGTGACAGAGCTGGGGTATCTCAAACCTGGGGAGGCAGGTGGCAGTAAGAATCTTTTAACTGCATCTAACATCTTTCCCCAGGAATCATTTTGGTGGCCATGAATCCTTACAAGCAGCTGCCGATATACGGAGATGCCATCATCCACGCCTACAGCGGGCAGAACATGGGTGATATGGACCCACACATATTTGCTGTGGCAGAAGAGGCATATAAGCAGATGGCCAGGTAGCTTCCTGCCAGGCTGGACTTCCCCTTGCTCTGCCAGTGCTCTCTGCATTTACCAGATTGTCACAGTGGAGGGGAGGTAACCAGGTTGGGCTCATTAAGAGACAGGCCAGAGGTGGCACTTTGTTGCGCCGACTACCTGGAGTGAAGAGCAGACAGCTGTCACATGTACCTGACCTGTCCAGATTGAGTTTCCTGGGTTCTGTTCCTTCAGGGTAGTCAAGTCAGCCCTACCAGTCTGGGAAAAGCAGATGCTTTTCTTGCAGTGTGTTTGGTTGGAGAGTATTGATTTATTCTCTGCTATGAGATATTTAAGCTTTTTATTTTTTTAACCTATTCAAGGAAGCAGAATCTGATGATGGACAAGCACAGGTTTTAGTAGGAGACTTGGAATTGTATCCTAATTTCACCACTAGGGACTGTAGGGCCCCCTGGAGCCCTTGTTTTCACTGGTATGGAAAGCCTCCTGTGACTGAGGAACCGTGCACACATTCCCAGCTGTCATCTGGGATGGCCTCAGAATAGCCCACGATGCAGATATCTGGGCTGTAAACAGCTTCGGGGAACAACCCACCCAAGTTAGGCAGCAGGCAAAAAGGCAGATCTGGGATTTGTGCTCATTTTTAAACTCTTGTTTATTTTCCAATAACTGTCACTTTTGTCTTTAATGTCTTCCTCTGTCAAGTATGGAGAATAAAAACACGACCCTATCTTTGTAGCTCCCTTTACAGTTTACAAAAGAACTTTCACATACAGTGGTCTCCTTTGAGTCTTACAGCAGTCCTGTGAAGTCAACTGACTTCACTGCCCTCATTTCACAAATGGGAAAGCTAAGGCACAGGACTTGGACCTGCTTGTTCTTCACCTAAATCTTTGCTGAATAACCCCAGCCACAGCACCTGAACTCTTTCCGCTTTATGTCTTTGTCTGTGAGCTGGACTCTCAGGGGCACCCATTCCTGGTTCTGCTGCTTATAATGAGGGGCAGGTGGTAACTTCCATGAGGTAGAACACATGCTGCTTTCCTGCACAGACGTCTGATGGGCAGTCTGGGGCTAGACCGATCCTCTTCGGAGTCATCAGAGACCCGGTACCATGGAGCTCCCTGTCCCTGGGGTGGGGCAGTCATCCTCAGGGAGAAGCTAGTGCTCAGCTCTGTCTTCCATATTCTAGGTGACAAGGCATATGAGGGGAAGGGTTTGACCCTCCAGGTTAGGGAGACTTTCCAGAAGCCCCACAAAGCACTTCTGCTTGACAGCTCATCCACCAGGACCTAACTCACACAGGGAGCCTGGGATGTGCAGTCTTTTGTATGCACAGCAGAGCACTGGCTAGCCACTGGGGCGTAGTTTCTGAGAAGGAAGAGAAGATGCAAATGCTTGCTGGGTAGAGAATTAGCAGCTTCTGCTGCACAACAATTCCTTCTAACCCTAAAATCCTCACGGTTCTGAGATTTTCCCTGGCTCCCTGCCGTCTCCCAGGTATGGTAGAGATTAGGGTCTGGGAGTCAGTGGAATGAACTCCTTTGCACTGTAGGGCAGTGCTCACTTCAGCCCTGAAGAGCCGGTTTGTCCTTGGAGGTCCATCCGTGTAACTGCAATAATCGAACGGAGCCTAAAGCAGGCTTGTGTTGGCCTTGTTTGATGCTGGACAGGTAGTGTCCTTAGGGGCTATAGAACAGGGCTGGGATTACTGAAGCCTGTTCTATGCCCTGAGGGACACTGAGCATGTCATTCCCCTTCTCCAAGTCTTCATCTTCTCTCTTTGAAATGAAAATACTGGACTGGGGCTCTATACCCAAAGTCTCCTCCAGCATTCACATGGGAGGCTGTAGCTCTGTGGTCAAGTCACTCCACCCTGAATCACCATTTTCCTCCCCTATAAAAGAGATATCTATGTCACAGGATTTTGGTGAAGCTTAAATGAGAATCTGTATTCACCCAGCACCTGGCATGTGAATGGTGCTGCATCCACAGAGTAGCGTTAGAAGCTTATACCATCACGGTCTTATGACATGAAAAGTTTAATGCATTTTTAAGAATCTCTAAATTATATAACAGAGCATGTTGGCTTACAGAGCGCATATGTTCCCAAGCATCTTTTGAATAATTGCTCTCAAAATAATGTCCTTGAAAATGTTTTTATATTTAAGTGGGATGTGCAGGAAGGAGTTGACATAAGGCCTGAGGCTGCTATCTTTAGAGACCTGCTTGCAAGGCGGCCCGTGGCTGGCCTCTGATTTCATGATGATCTCTGGCATTTCTTGGTTGATAAAGTGGCTCATTTGACCTAAACGTAAGCTGTTTGTGTAAATGGTGTTCTTTATGCTGAATACCTACTTTCCTTCTAGGAGCCTGGAATGTGGGCATGTACTAGGCAGAAGGTGGGCACTGTATCTCTAATGAGCTTCCCTGGCAGCCAGCATTTCACATGTGCCATCAAATTCCTTGCAGGGGGAATTGAATGTGTCCTTGTGACCCAACTGGGGAGAGGACCCCTGGAAGTTTACACCTGGGTTCCACTGGACCTCACCCCGTGTGCCTTTTCCCTTGCTGCCTTTGCTCTGTATCCTCTTGCTGCAGTCAGTCTCAGCTGTGAGTCTGACTATCTGTTGAGTCCTGCGAGTCCTCTTAGTGGATCATTGAACCTGAGATTGGTCTTGGGACTCCTCAAAATGGTGCTCAGTAAATACATGCTGACAGGCAGCATGATGACCTGGGCAGGGTCCATCTAGAAAAAGGATGCTCAGGAGAGGGTCGGGAGGGCAGAGGAGAGATGAAATTCAAGAACAGAAGTAAAAAGCAAAAATCCTGGCCAGAGAGTGGGAGGCATGGGAAGGAGCAGGTTTTTGGTTGGGTTCAGAGGTTGAGTAGAGAAGCAGTAAGGAGCAGGGATTGGAACAAAGGTTGGATGAAAGATGTGAACTTTTAAAATTCTGTGTTTTGCACCATCACATAGAAAAAAATATCTAGAAGGAACTAAACTGAGATTTAAAAATAGCAGAGTGACAAAACAGTTTCACTCCTTTGTCTTGTCTGCGTTTGTCTTAATTAGCACCTATTGCCTTCTTGATGGGAGGAAACTAATATTCTAAAACTCTTTTATTTGCTTTAGAAACAACAGAAACCAGTCCATCATTGTAAGTGGGGAGTCAGGTGCTGGGAAGACAGTGTCAGCTCGCTATGCCATGAGGTACTTTGCCACCGTCAGCAAATCAGGCAGCAACACTCACGTGGAGGACAAGGTCCTAGCGTCCAACCCCATCACCGAGGTGCGTACCACGGTGGAAGGCAGCTGTTGATGATGGAAATGGGGTTGGTTGGTTTGTGTGCGGTCTAGGCTAATTCAAGTTCCCACCCCTTAAAGACCAAAGAAGAGAGGGCAGGAAAGACCCAGGAAGCCTGTTTGCTGATGGGATTTGAAGGAGATGGGGGCAGAATTGCTACTTCCAATGCTCTCTCCTGCTGTGTCTGCTGGGCTGAAAATCTACCACCAGACAGAGTCCTCTGTTTACATTTACATCCCAGGGGAAAGGTCTTCAGACACAAACATCACTGGTACCCTCAAGTCACTGGTGTGCTCCAGCCAGCTGGCATCAGCTTTCATTAGCTGATTGTTACAATATTCAGGAATTTTGCAAGCTGATTGATAAACCTTTGGTAGTTTGAAATCAGTCATGGGAGGAGTATTTTATACCTCCTGGCTTGGCAAAGGCCAGATGTCAAGACTTCCTCCTGGCCTCCCCAGAGCCAGTTCATCAGCACACTGCTGACTGGAACAGAGGGTGGGCAAGGCCAAGCATGGCAGTGCCCAGGGGTAAGGAGACAGCCTTCAAGGAAGAAGGGGGCACCCAAAGGGCACAGAGGAGGGTCCTGCAAGCCAGCTCCAGCTGCCCTGCAACCTGGGAAGAGGATTGATTTGAATTTATTTGGAAGCAGAGCAAATAATTAATAACATTAGACTCCTAGACCTCTTCTGCCTGTTTTCTCAAATCAAAATCCTCAATGAGTATTTATCAGTCCACCTACTCTGTTGAAGCCACTGCGTAGCTAATGTGGGAAGTGATGGAAAAGAATAAGACCTAGTCTCCAGGTATAAGATTCTTCTAACCTAACGTAAGAATATCTTAAAATTAAATAGAAACATAAGAGGGGAGAGGGGTACTAAGAAACACTGCAAAACTCATAGCCCAGGGGCGTAGGTTTACTTAGAAACAGAAATTACAATTCAAGGTACCAGTAAAAAAGTTATCAAGGCTGGGTGTGGTGGCTCACATCTATAATCCTGCACTTTGGGAAGGTGAGGCAGGCGGAGCTCAGAGGTTCCAGACCAGCCTGGGCAACATGATGAAACCCATCTCTACCAAAAATACAAAAAATTAGCCAGGCATGGTGGCACATGTCTGTGGTCCCAGCTACTCAAGAGGCTGAGGTAGGAGGATCGCTTGAGCCAGGAGATGAAGGTTGCAGTGAGCTGAGATTGCACCACTGCACTCCAGCCTGGATGACAGAGCGGGACCCGGTTTCAAAATAAAGAAATGTTATCAAGAGTCAGTGCCAAGTTAAATTCCAAGTGGATGATCTTGTGTAAATATTTAGGGTTTGTCTCCCCCACTAGACTGTACACTCCATGAAGGCAGGACCACATCTATTTAGTTCACCGGTGTTTACCGAGCACATGGCATATAGTAGGTGCTCAGTAAATACATGTTGACAGGCAGCATGATGACCTGGGCAGGGTCCATCTAGAAAGACGGTGCTCAGGAGAGGGTGAGGAGGGCAGAGGAGGGATGAAATTCAAGAACAGAAGTAAAAAGCAAAAATCCTGATCACAGAATGGGAGGGATGGGAAGAAGCAGGTTTTTGGTTGAGTGGAGAGGTGGAGTAGGGAAGCAGTAAGGAGTAGGGATTGGAACAAAGGTTGGATGGAAGATGGGAACTTTATTTTATTTATTTATTTATTCATAAAGACGGGGTTTCACCATGTTGGTCAGGCTGGTCTTGAACTCCCGACCTCAGGTGATTCGCCCACCTCGGCCTCCAAAGTGCCTGGATTACAGGCGTGAGCCACCACGCCTGGCCAGATGTGAACTTTTAATTGAGCATCGTAGGTAATTGGGGCCTGAATGAGGCCAAATACCTATGAGGCACCTCATATTCTCTTATTTAATCCTCCCAACTCTGTAAGTGTTCTGGTCAGTCTGGGCTGCTATTATAATAATCAATATACTTTAGCATAATATACTTTAGTTTCATTGACCAGGTGGCTTATAAACAAGAGAAATTTATTTCTCGCAGTTCTGGAGGCTGGAAGTCCAAGATAAGGGTGCTAGCAGGGGTCGGGTTCTGGCGAGGCCGCTCTTCCAGGTTGCAGACTGCTGTCTTCTCACGGTACCCTTACGTGGAAGAAAGAGAGCAGGAGGGGTCTCTGGGATCCCTATTTCGCAGGCATTAAAATCCCACTCCTGAGGGCTCTACCCTCATGACATCATTACTTCCCAAAGGCCCATCTTATGATACCAATACATAAGGTTAGGATTTCAGCATGAGGATTTAGGGAGGGGACACACATTCTGTCCATAACAGTGAGATGCTTATTATTCTCATATGACAGATAGAGAAATTAAGAGCTGGAAAGATGAATTACTTTTTGGTTTGTTTGTTTCTGAGATAGGGTCTCGCTCAGTTACCCAGGCTGGAGTGAGGTGGTGCAGTCAGCTCACTGCAGCCTCCGCCTCCTGGGCGCCAGCAGTCCTCCCACCTCAGCTTTCTGAGTAGCTAGGACTACAGGCACACGTCACTGTGCCTGGCTAATTTTATTTTTTATGTTTTGTAGAGATGGGAGTCTCACTATATTGCCTTGTCTGGTCTCAAACTCCTGGCCTCAAGTGAATTTCTCGCCTCAGCCTCCTGAAGTGCTGGGATTATAGGCATGAGCCACCACCGCCCCCAGCCAATGAATTAACTTTTAAGACATTCCCGTCTTAAAATACAGATAGCAAAGATAGAACCCAGGGACCTGAAACATCAGAACCTGTGCTCTTTCTGGTCTTCCCCAGCATCTGCCAGTGGGACCGAGGAGAGCCTTGAGCAGCAGGCTTGGGATTCGTCATGTTCCCTGCCAGCCTGGGGTAGCCTTCTTTCCAGACGTCCCTCTGCCGATCAGACCTCCCCTTAGGGTACAGGATTGCATTTTACTAAAAACCCCTCCAGTAATTTTGAGGCAAAAATCTTTTAATGTGTTTATTTCAAGAGAGTCTTATGTTTTCTAGGCTGTCGGAAATGCCAAGACCACACGCAATGACAATAGCAGTCGGTTTGGAAAATACACAGAAATCAGTTTTGATGAGCGAAATCAGATTATAGGAGCCAACATGAGAACTTACCTCCTGGAGAAATCCAGAGTTGTCTTTCAAGTAAGGATAAAAGTATTAAATTTCCTTTCTCCCAACTTTTTTAGCATTATTTATGTTTACATCTCATTATATGTGCTCAGGCAAGCTACATTATGCTGAGTGGAAAAATAGGGTTTCTTGCCTTTCACTTGCAGTTCAGATTCCTTTTTCTGTTTATTAAAAATGGATGGATGAAGAGGTGTGATATCAGATGAGTTGTATGACTGCAGGAAAAGGTTACAACTTCTTTTATTTGGTGATTTACAAAATCCTGATGGTTTCAAAAGCAAGTATATCTTTCTAGAGCACAAAAACTGTTTGAAATAGACAAAGCTGACAGACTGGCTTTTCTATTCGTAAGGGAATGGAATCAGAGCTATTGAGGCGTTTTAAGAGAAAGGCTTTTCTGCCAGTGACATGGGGAAATTCTCATTGTTTTGGCGCAGGAGGGGAGCAACAGTAAGCCTTGTATCGCAGGAAGTTTCTAAAAATTTCAACTAGAATGAGTTACGTCATTCCCAGTTCATAGGACGATTTCATTTCCTAACACTTTCTCTGGGTCGCTTGTTACTTGGAAGGCCATCTCAGGCCACCCAGTTCTCAGCTGAGAGGAAGGGCCTGCCTGTGAACCGGCCAGATTACATCGTGGACAGCAGAACTGTCCATCCAGATTAGCCATCTAGAACCCTCTAATTAAAAACCTGGCATTTTTGCTTGTAAGGATTTGGTGTAATTTTGAGGACTCTTTTTTGTCTTACAGTCGGAAAATGAACGAAATTACCACATTTTCTATCAGCTTTGTGCATCTGCACAGCAGTCAGAATTTAAACATCTTAAATTGGGTATGTGATGGATGGTGTGTGGAAGGGTCTTTCTCTTATGTGGGGGCTTAAATTCTAGATTAACTTTCTTTGTATAGTAATATGTCTTTTTTTGAAGTATTTGCCCAAAGATGTAAGATCCTTTGATTTCAAGGACAGAATTGGTGCATCTAATTAAGGGGATGGATTAGGACTTGGGAGATGAGTTCAGGGAGAGAAGACACTCTTAAGCCTGAGGGTTATTTTTAAAGCTCATTGGGCCCAGGATGATGCTCACACCTGTAATCCCAGAACTTTGGGAGGCTGAGGTGGGTGGATCGCCTGAGGTCAGGAGTTTAAGACCAGCCTGGCCAACATGGCAAAACCTGGTCTCTACTAAAAATACAAAAAGTAGCTGGTGTGGTGGTGCATGCCTGTAGTCCCAGCTACTTGGGAGGCAGAGGCAGAAGAATTGCTTGAACCTGGGAGACAGAGGTTGCAGTGAGCCAAGATCATGTTACTGCTCTCCAGCCTGGGCAACAGAGCGAGACTCCATTTCAGAAAACAAAAAGGTTCATCAGGTGGTTGTGATCCTTTAGCTAGAACCACCTGAATAAGACTTCCTGACAGCTGGAACATATGGTGTCACCAAACTTGCCTTTTTATTTGAACATTTATAGATAGTTGTTTTCCTAACACATATGACATGTTAACCCACTTTTTAAAACAAAGCACCTCTATCATCATTTGAACTCCCTTGATGGCTCAAGGTCATTAATTATTTGTAGTCATAATTAATTATACTTCAGAGATGGCTAAAACATAGGGCTGTTTGTCCTTAAATACAATAGTCCCCGAGCCCTATACTGTCACAGCTCACCTGCCTTGGCCGTGTGTGTTATGCTGGTAGGTGAGAATTGTCAGAGATAACTTCGAGTGTGTTGGAGTTGAACTCACGCTCTCTAATTTTAGAGAAGTGGCTTGTATTCTTGGAATCTACGTTTCTGCAGATTTCACATGAAGGTGATATCCTTGGCCTTGTCTACCAAACAGAATGTGAATAGCAAACCTGCAGAAGGGCTTTTCAAAGGATCCTCTACTGTTTAAACATTAGGGGTGTGTGTATATATATATATGTGTGTGTGTGTATAGTCATTATCCTGATTGTGCTAATGGTTTTTTTTTTTTTTTTTTTTTGAGATGGAATTTTGCTCTTGTTACCCAGACTGGAGTGCAATGGCATGATCTCAGCTCACCGCAACCTCCGCCTTCTGGGTTCAAGCAATTCTCCTGCCTCAGCCTCCTGAGTAGCTGCGACTACAGGCACGCACCACCATGCCCAGCTAATTTTTGTATTTTTAGTAGAGACGGGGTTTCACCTTGTTGACCAGGGTGGTCTTGATTTCTTGACCTCGTGTCCACCCGCCTCGGCCTCTCAAAGTGCTGGGATTATAGGTGTGAGCCACCGTGCCCGGCCATGCTAATGGTTTTATAAGAGTGTATGCATGTCAAAAATTCATCAAACCATGCATGTTAAGCATATGCAGTTTATTGTACATTTAGTAAACCTCAGTAAAACTGTGGAAAAATGTTAGGTGCAGGAACAAAAACCATGAGCTTTAGAGTTAGGCCTGCATTTAAATTCTTGCTTGCCATCAGCTATGGGTACTTGAAAAAGTCACTTTACTTTTCTGAGTCTCAGCTTCTGCGTCTGTAATGTAAAATTGTTTTGTTTGTTGTTTTGTTTTGTTTTTGTTCTTTTGAGACAGGGTCACCCAGGCTGGGGTGCAGTGGCGCCAACATGGCTCACTGCAGCCTCGAACTCCTGGGCTCAAGTGATCCTTCTGCATCAGCCTCCCGAATAGCTGGGACCACAGGCACGTGCCACCATGCCCAGCTAATTTTTTGTAGAGATGGGGTTTCGCCCTGTTGCCCAGGCTGGTCTTGAACTCCTGGGTTCAAGCAAGCCCCTTGCCTCAGCCTCCCAAAGTACTGGGATTACAGGCACAAGCCTTTGCATCTGGCTGTAATGGCAGAATTCTGAGGAATAAATGGAATCACCTGTGTAAAGTGCTTCACACAGCTTGTTGAGTATGAACTTCCCTGCTTTTGATAAATGTGTATATCCAAATTTCTGTGTTACAGACATAACAAGTCTTACTTTTTGATTTCAGGCAGTGCTGAAGAATTTAATTATACAAGAATGGGAGGTAATACTGTCATTGAAGGTGTGAATGATCAAGCTGAAATGGTCGAAACTCAGAAGACCTTTACGCTTCTGGGTAAGGGAAGATATCCCATCTAAAGATGTAGCCGTTTTCTCTTTAAAAAAATTAAAAGGTGGGGATTCCCAGCATAGGTGTGTTCAGAAGGCTCCTAATCAATTCCAGTTTTAGGACAAACCCTCAGAAGATGGTTTAGAAACTAAGTGGTCAAGACTGTGCTTTTCCTTTAAAAGAGCTAGCTAGAAATGGACTCCTTTTTTCCCTGGGGCTTCCTGGCTCACTGTTAGAGGCATGGGCTGCAAGCCCTGTGAATGCTGTAAGCTCTCCTACAATTAATACAAGGATGACCGGTGAAGCCAAGGTCCGATTCGGTTCAGAAGTGTAGCGTTGGCCTTCATAGGTCTCCTGATGATGACAGTAAAATAGTGGACACTCAAGTGGAGCTTACAGTGTGCTGGGCACCATCCTAAGCACTTCACAGCCCTGTGTTAACTCATTCAAGCCCTACAACCACCCTAGGATGTCAGTGCAGATATTTCTCTCATTTTACAACAGGGAAACTAAGGCACAGAGATGGGAAGTGATTTACCCAAGGTTAGGCAGCCCATGCAGAGTAGAACTGGCTTTTGCACTCCAGGGTCTTCAAGCATCTCGTTTTGTTTCCTTTTTCTTTTTTTAAGACAGAGTCTCTCTCTGTCCCCAGGCTGGAGTGCAGTGGTGTGATATTGGCTCACTGCAACCTCTGCCTCCCAGGTTCAAGTGATTCTCCTACCTCAGCCTCCAGAGTAGCTGGGACTATAGGTGCGCACCACCATGCCTGGCTAATTTTTGTGTTTTTAGTAGAGACAGGGTTTCACCATGTTGGCCAGAATGGTCTTGATCTCTTGACCTTGTGATCTGCCTGTCTTGGCTCTCAACGAGCTGGGATTATAGGCCGGAGCCACCATGCCCAGCCCAAGCATCTCCCCATTTTATACAAAAAACCACGTATCTTCTATTGCTCAGATGCTGGCATGGGTGGACCAGGCATGACTCTCACAGGACAGCCAATTGTTCCCAATCCATCTCACCTTACTTTTCCCACGCAGAGCTCCTGTTCAGAAAGGCTGTCTAGCAGCTGGTATTTATAAAAACAGGCATGCACTCTCTCATTTTGTATGAGTCTAGACATCCACACGAAGCTGCCCGTCAAAGCTTCTGATGAGGGTAATGCTGTTGGCCATTTCTGCGTCTTGCTGAAATCTCCCACCGATTCATTCTGAGTGCTTTCATTCTTGTGGCCCGGTTGACTGTATCTTAATGTAAAAGACTAAGAATTTAAGGTTAAATACATCAAAGTAATAGGCAAGATGATCACAGCTGGATAATGGAGAAGGAAAAACAAGATGATTTTCTAAGCAGAATCACCATCAGACTCTGACTCAAACCTGCCTCAAGGAGAAGGGCAAGTTAAACTTTTTATGATAAGAGAAACACGTTTGGCACTGATTAATGTTTTCTGAAAATAATTAGAGTGGTCATTTCAGTCTTTGTATAATGTACTCCATGGAGAGGGGGCTGGGTGTTTGAGGAGGGGACAGGTGGCCAAGCTCTGGCTGGGCTGAAGGGGACCCTGGGTCACATGCCCTGTCCTGCCCAACCCCCATCTCCCTTATCCTTCTGAGTCCTCTCTCCCACCTCCATCGTGTCCTCCTCACAGCAAGATAATATAGGGCCAATAGAGTGGGCTTTGGGATCCAATGGACATGAATTCAAATCCTAGTTGGCGTGAGTCTAAGGCTCCCCTCTCTGAGACATGGTATCTTGATCTGTGAGTGGCAGCACACCTTGCCTTTCATGACAGCTGGCGAGGAAGTGTCTGTAAAAGTCCCTAGCACCAGGCCAGGCACATAGCAGGCGCCCGGCAACTGCTGCCCCCTGCCTTCTCTCTCCCTCCATTCCTGATTGTCCAAACCCTCATCGTCCTTTGAGTAAAACCGTCTCTTCTATGAAACCTTTTCTAATTGTTGGAGGTGAGCAGTTTGCAGCCATTTGCCCCCATGTATCACACAACTTAGGTTATGTTTGCAGATTTCCACATCACATTCCTCAGTCCCAGAGCCAAAACTGGGACAAGGCAAGAGAGGCCCTCATTCTCAGGTTGGCCCTGGACATCTAACCTGGGCACAGGCTTAGACATTTTAAACAAAGCCCTCTGGAGTTTTGTAGAGAGGTGGAGTACACAGTCCTCTCCTAGCAATAATGGTGATGGCTGCTGGCGGTGTTGTGTGAAATTGGGGCCACTGCACCTCTTCCCTTCAAGAGAGGGTACCTCAGCAAGTGCCCCTGCTCAGACTTTTCCTTTTCCTGGCATGAGGTCCTCGGGGCTTCTCTGTTTAGACATGCTGGGGTGAAGCCAGATGGCTTTATGAATGCTGCCGGTCTTTTCTCATACTGTGGTGGGTGCTGGTGTTAAACTGCTTAGATACGCCTTACCCAGCATGACCTCGGGTGAGTTCCCTAAACTTCCAATGCCTTAGTTTCCTCCTCTGTGAGTTGGGAACAATGCTAGGATTCCTCCGTGAGGCTGCAGTGAGAATGAGATGAGCTGATACAGGGCCAGTCCCGAGGACAGTGCCTGAGGCAGTTTCCATCCACTTTCCCCTCCACTTCTGCTGCTGAAGTCCCTTAGCTAGCAGCGAGATTACTCCTAGAGAAGCATGAGGGGATGTATTTTGACTAAAAAGTCCCTTTCCTTTGCTCTTCTGCTGTGTCTTTCTTGTGTGATTCATCCACTGATCCCTGCCATTTGGGTGTTGCTATGACATTTTCTCTCTGATGGGAAGAACACCTTGGACCTCAGGCTCTAGGAGCTTGACCAGTGAGCTCCTCCTGGAAATCTGATTCAGGCTGGCATTGCTTTTGTGTGACAGGCTCGCTGAGGATGATTACTTAACACAGGTCTTGAATTCTTTCTTTCATATTATTGCTTTGGAGTTGTCATCTTTCTTTTGTGTTTCTGGAAGGCCTGGAGTAGTAGTTAAGGGATTTAGTCATGGATCACAGAAAGCAGGGAGGGGTGCCAGAATGGAGGCTCCCACACTTGGCATTTTAGTTGCTTTTCATGATTACTTATCTGTCATTGCTGTGGTGGAGGCCCGGGGCTATATTTCTGTTGGACACGTCTGTCCTTCAGATGGAGGCGTTACCTCCAAATGGAAAGGCAGCAAGTGCCTGGACTCAGCTGAGCTGGAGTCCTTCCTATGTTCTTGAACTGAAATCTTTTGAGACTGATTTTATTTAATTTTTGTAGTAGAGGAGACTCTGGGCTGGGTGCAGTGGCTCACGCCTATAATCCCAGCACTTAGGGAGGCCGAGGAGGAAGGACCACTTGAGTCCAGGCATTAAAGACTGGCTTGGGCAACATGGTGAAACCCCATCTCTACAAAAAATTATCTGGGCATGGTGGCACACATTTGTAATCACAGATACTGAGGAGGCTGAGGTGGGAGGATTGCTTGAGCATAGGAGGTTGAGGCTGCAGTGAGCCATGATCACTCAACTGCACTCCATCCTGGGCAACAGAGTGAGACCCTGTCTCCAAAAAAAAAAGATTGTAGGTATTTGAAATTGTTGAAGAGCTTGACCTACCTGCTAATGAAAACTCCAGGTATCCCCAAGTGAGGGGTCACTGGCTTCCGTTCCAGGGTGGACCAGGCAGCCACAATGCTAATGAACCTGCCCGCCTGCCCAAGCGTGTCTCTCAGCTCCTCGAGTCACCAGTGTCATCAGCACACACTGGGGGCATCCCGACCTGGCAAAGCCAGGCTCACAGCATGCAGGTCTCTACTGTGACTTGCCGGGTTCAAACAGAGTCCTTTCTAGCAGCCGGCTTTGTTTCTTTTTGGCTCCAGGAAATGTGCCAATCCCCTCGGTGAATGAATATGATATGTAGTCATAATTTATATTCTATCTAAAGCAGTCAAAGTCCCAATGGGAAACATGGGGCAGGCTCACAGTAGGATAAGAGAGGAAGGGATTGTTTATTATTTACAACTGCAAAGGCTACCCAGGAGAGTAGGAGAGTCTAGGGGAGCTGTTAAGACAAGGGGCAGTGGGCACCTGGGGACAGCAGCAGAACTGTTCACTGCTCTTTCCCATGTGGGCACCCAGGTGTTTCTGGAGCCTGGAAGGAGAGCTGAGTAAAGTCAGCCCCAGAGGAGTAATGACCTTCTGTCAGTCAGGCCGTGCAGCCAGCCAGAGGCAGCCTCGCAGGGAAAGGGACCGGGGAGGACGCACTCAAAATCTTCACTGCTCCTCTCTCTGCTCTCCTGCCAGGCCTCCCCATGAATCAAACCCAACCACAGGCCAGAGGGCATGAAAGGCCATTGCCTTGGTTTATACCAAGTTCCCAGGGGCAGAGAGCAGAGGATCTGGAGGGGCAAATGGAATCCCTCCAGCAGTCCCACCTTAAAAATAATTCAGGGATTACGAGAGCTTGTGAGCAAAAAGAAAACTGGAAAATCATTGAAAATAAACCACAGGATAAAGGCAAGATGACTCTCCAAGGAAACTGATGTGAAGTGGTTACTTGGATAATAATTTTTGTGTTGAATTTGCTAGCAGCCATGTCAAAGAGGAGACTGGTGTCTAGACACGTATGGTATGTGTGTGCTACCTGCATGTCATGAGTCTACAGAGGCCGACTAGAAAGAACGGTGCCCCAGATGCCCCCCGTGTCCACTTCACGTTCCTGTCCCAGAGCTTGGCACTGACGCTACCTGCATGTCTCCAGTGAGTCCAGGTGCCCATCTAGTCAGAGAAGAGATACAGCATTCCTAACCTGGGAAATTGTTTGTTTTCAGGTTTCAAGGAGGATTTTCAGATGGATGTTTTTAAAATCCTGGCGGCCATCCTACATCTGGGCAACGTGCAGATCGCCGCGGTGGGCAGCGAGAGGTCCTCCATTAGTGTGAGATGCTCGTTTGTTTTACTTTCCGTTGGTTGGAGGGTCACAGTGGAACCGGCTTGCAGATGACCTACCTTTGCTTTTTAGCGCCAGGCATAGTCAGGTCTCCTGGGTAGACTGGTTTAACCGGAAGCAGGCGGCAAAGGATTTCCAGGGGTTGCCTTCAAGGAGTCAAGCCTCCTCCCCTTGCAACAGTAGAGGAGGGGAAATGTATCCATGTATCCTCTGTGTGTTTTTCTTTTTCTTTTTTCTTTTTTTGAGCTGGAGTCCCCAGGCTGGAGTGCAGTGATGTGATGTCTGCTCACTGCAACCTCCGCCTCCCGAGTTCAAGTGATTCTCCTGCCTCAGCCTCCTGAGTAGCTGGGATTACAGGCGCCTGCCACCAAGCCTGGCTAATTTTGTACTTTTTTCAGTAGAGATGGGGGTTTCACCATGTTGCCCGGGCTGGTCTCAACCTCCTGACCTCAGGTGATCCGCCTGCTTCGGCCTCCCAAATTGCTGAGATTCCAGGCTTGAGTCACCACGCCTGGCTTTTGTGTTTTTCTTTTATTCAAGTGCCATGGACTGTAATAGGATCTGGGGAAACAGTGAACAAAACACAGCAAGAAGCCCTTCAGAGAGCTTGTGATGGGGGAGGGAGGAGACACAACAAGCAAATGTGGGCCCCAGCAGCTGGTGACAGCTGGCACAGAGGCAAGTAAGCAGAGGGGACATGCAGAGGGGCTGCGTCTTTCATGTGGGGTGGTCAGAGAAAGTCTGTCTGAGAAGGTGGTGGTGGGCAGTGGCCTCAGGGGATGAGGAAGCAGGTCACGCCTGTGGATGGTAGAGAATGTTTGAAGTGGAGGGAACAGCAAGGGCAGAAACCCCCAGGCAGGAGACGTCATTTGAGAAATAGCTGGAAGGTCCGTGTCCATAATACATGGAAGGTCCATGTATCCAGAGAGGGTGAGTGACAGAGAAGGTGTGGATGAGACCAGAAGGGGAAGGGGGGATTGCAGACCACATAGGACCTTAAGGGTACTGGGTAGTTTTCAGCAGAAGGACACCCCTACCTCCTTACACGTGCTTGAACCAGACGTCATTGGTGCCAGCTTCCTGGGACTGTATTCCCATGTAAGTTTTGTGATAGGTTTCTTTGTTTAATGGACACAAGTTGATGTGTGTTTCTTCTATGACACACATTATGAGTAGTGATTCTTGGGAGAAGGTATGTGTTTAATTAGTCTCATCAATGTCCATGTAAAGGAGAAAACAAATACAAGTAAAAAATGTTTCTAGGAAAAGCAGAATCTGGATACATTTAAGCTTTGCGTTAACAGTGACATGTCCTAGTTAATGCAGACGGCCATATCAAAATGCCACAGGCTGAGTGGCCTAAACTATAGACGTTCGTTTTCTCACAGTTCTAGAGGCTGGGAGTCTGAGAGCAGAGTGTCATCCTGGTCGGTTCTGGTGAGGGATTTCGGCCAGGCTTCTAGGCGTCCCCCTTCTTATTGTGTCCTCGTGGTGGAGAGAGAGCAGACACTGCAATGCCTCTTATGAGAACACTAATCCCAGCATGGCAGATCTCACCCTCTTGACTTGAGCCAACACTGATTACCTCCCAAAGGCCCCTCTCCAAATACTGTCAAGTTGGGGGTTAGAACTTTAACATGTGAGTTTTGGAGGGACACAAATATCCAGTCCATAACGATGTTGATTTTCATGTCCTTCAAATAACTGATGGGAGTAAGTTGATCATCTTGTGTAATCGATGAGTTCTTGGCTCTCGGGTACCTATGATTTGGGGAGAGAGAAGAGCCTAGTGGAGCAGGAGCTCCAGGGCTCAGGACTTGAGGCCCGTTGCCGTGACCAGGAAGTACCCCCGCCCCGGCAGTGTCCAGACCTCCCAGAGTAAGTCAGTTCCGAAAGTGGGAAAGCCGGGAGAGGGGTGAGGAGAGGCCTGGGGGAGAGTGTGGTGTGTCTGAAGTGCCAGCTCCCTCTGTTTCCTTGCTCAGTTACCTCAGAGAAGCTGGGCTTCTGCCCTTTCTCCCCTAAACCCCAATGGACTAAAAATGTGATGTCTGCCCAAGAAATGCCATCACACTGAGCCCTCTCCCGTGAAGCTTGTTAAGAAGGTAGCATTTTAGAGGAGGAATTAAAATTGATTGACTGAAATTCCTTTGGAACGTCTTCTAAGTATATTTGTAGAAAATTCCCAGTCCTATAATTATTGGTCCTAGATTTGGGATCCATTACCATCCATTTGTATCAGGAACCTGAAGTGTTGGACACATTAAATTTGGATGAAGCCATGTGACTTTTTGAAAAACTGCTGCCCCTTTGCATTTTTTCCCCGTAGCAGTGCCTACAGCTGAATTGTTTTTGACTCAGAAGGTTTCACTCTTTCTTAGAAGGAAGGAAATCAAATGCCTGTGCCAGTCCCTTCCCTTAAGAGGTCAGGCACATCAAAGGCAGCTCTGTGTTACTGTGATGTTGATGAGCAGGGGTGGGTGGAGCGCCGGGAGGGGCCCGACTGTTTCCTCGGCTTCCTCTGCTGCATCCCCAGGCTTTCTAGTGCAGTTCTGTGGCTTTCCTGCCTGAGAGAGGAGCCAGGAGTCACATCCTTGCCTAAGGACAGGAGCCGTTTGTCCACACCAGCTGAAGGGAAATGGGGGCATCTCTTCCCTCTTTTCATTTGCTGACCAGTGGTGCAGCTCTCGTGCCTGGGCTTGGGGGAGAAGCAAGATTTCACTCTGCATTTAGGAAAAGTCCCACTCCAGCCCTTGTGTCAGTGGAGGCACTGGCTTAGCCACAGGAACCGCACCTGCTTCTGCCTGGCAGCAACACCCAGGTACCTCCTGGGCCAACTATCCAGGCAAACCCCTGGCCATGCAAGGTGGGGCAAGGTGAGTGCACACTCTGACCAGTGGCCCAGGATGGTACAAAGGGAAGAGAGAGGGCTGCATCCACACCCACAGGAACAGGGCGGGGTCCAGCGAGGATGGCTGCTTGGCCTCAGTCACCGCTGACATTCTTTGGTTAAAATGAAAAATCAGTGCGGCAGGGGCCAGGTGCAGGACCCATGCCACTGCAGCCTTCTCGCTCTCCTCCCCGGTCTGTCTCTACCTCCTGAGGCCTGCGCATCCTCATGCCAGCTACTCCTCAGCTCTTGCCCAACAGGGACCGTTGCTGGGTAGGATTGTGTGGCTTTAGATGACTGGGCCGCCCTGATGGGTCTTGTGCTTGTTTTTGAAGGAGGATGACCATCACCTGGAGGTGTTCTGTGAGCTCCTGGGTCTTGAGAGTGGCAGAGTCGCTCAGTGGCTGTGCAATCGCAGAATTGTCACAAGCTCTGAGACAGTGGTGAAACCCATGACCAGGCCTCAGGCTGTCAACGCCAGGGATGCACTGGCCAAGAAGATCTATGCTCACCTGTTTGACTTCATTGTGGAGAGCATTAACCAAGCGTTGCAGTTTTCAGGCAAGCAGCACACTTTTATTGGTGTTTTGGACATTTATGGGTAAGATTCTCTTCAGTGAGCCTGTCTTTCTTCCTTTAAATGTTGAGAGCCCCATGATTTTTAGATCATTTTGTTCTGGTTCCGTTGTGTTTCCCATGATTAGAAAGAAAACATTCTCTGCTTTTGCCCCAATAGATGCTAAGTACACTCTCCTGGGCTATGGTGCTGTGTATTTAAAGTGCATTAAAGAGATGCCGCGTTAGTAATGACCGATGTCAGGAGCTTACTGAGGTTGCTTGCTTTCCAGAGGCTTTCTCGCCTAACCCTCAAACAACCTTGTAATGATCCCCATTTTAGAGATGCAACAACCACAGCTTAGAAAGACTCAATCACTTGATCACAATTGCTCCGCAAGTCAAAGCACCCAGCACAGTGTGAGGCTCTTGTTGATGCTTTTCCCACCGAAGGCCCCAAGGTCCCTTCCCATTCGAATCAGAGGGGATGACAGTTCACCTAGGCCTGCACCTTGCCCAAGCCCAGCAGCCAGAGGTGAACTCAAACCCAGGTCTCTGATCAGCTGCCCTCCACCCTTCAGTCCTTTTCCGTTCTTGGGTAAGAAGATCTTGGATTTTCCCCAGCCCCTTCTCCAGGAGGTCTTACCCTTCATCCCACTCTGGAGTTGGGTTCTTTTTCAATCTCTCTGCCTGGTCCTTGTCCGCTAAACCCCAGGCCCAGCTCATGCTGCTGAAGCTGCTGTGGAGTAGCCAGCGTGGAAGGAGGGCTCCATGGAGATTGTTGTCCCTCAGGCTTTTCTCAGCAGCTGGCCCCGGTGCCCAGCCCTTCCCCCTCTCCTGGAACCCACCCTGGTTTCTTAGCAGGAGAAAGGGAAGATGGCCCATGTAAGACTGTCCCATGATAGGCATCATGGGGTATTCCACCTGGATTGGGGGACCATCGCCCACACCCTGGCAAAAAGCAGCTCAACCCCATTCCCCAGGACGAGGCGAGAGCCCAGCCCTGGTCTTCATGGCCCTGTGGCTGCCGCCTGGGGATGAGGAGGACAGGGCCACACCATGCCGCTGGACTTGCACCCAGCTGGAGAGGCAGCTTTTCCTAGAGCTGTGGAATAGGAGACAGTGCCTCAAGGGAGTTGCCTTAATTTAGATTCTAAGTTAATACATATGGCTCCCAATTAATAGTACATGTCAACAGTTATAAAACACTTAATACATTACTGGGATAGTCTCATCAATTATTTACCTCGTCTTGTGCCAAGAAAGCGCTTGAGCAGCCTGTAAAAACCTAAGTGAACTTTTAAAAACTGATAGTCTCATTGAAAATAGTCCTGTTTCATTGTGGTGGAGATACCTGATTGTTCTGTTATTCCGTGTTCTTTTGGGTATTTCAGAAATGTCTTTTTAAATGGCAGTCCTTTATTTTAGGAGTATATTGTTTCACATTTGTATCCAACAGTTGTTTATGTCCCAGGCACTGTGTTGGAGGCGATTGCTAAGCAGAATAGACACGTGGCCCCTGATGCCTTAGGACTGAGACTGTGGGGGAGGCAGGAGGGCAGGAGAGGTTGGGAGCAGTCCTGGGAAGGGAGGAAGGTGTGCTGGAGGTTAGCAGGGGGTGAGGATGGAGCAAGGGCAGCCACGTGCAAGTAGAAGCACGCTGGACTGTGGTCCCCAGGTGGGATCCAGTACCACTGTAATAAGGATTTAGAATTTTTTGGCTAAGTGGAAAAAGCTGAGTTTTTATAAATTCACAAAGACTTGTTAAAGTTTAAGATTTCTCTCAGAATTGCTAACAATAGCATGTTTGCTGCCACCCTTCAGTTCATGATACACCTCCAGAAAAATCAGCTTGCTTCTAAGCAGCCAGGCTGCAGCCGGGGCCCCAGGCTTTTCCCATCCGCTCCAGCAGCCTTGCCTCTAGGCTAACACTCGCACAGGCATACCTGCAACTTTTGAGAAAGCTCAGTTTGACCTGGAAATAAGGAAACCTCAAAGGAAGAGTTAGCTCACAGCTTCAGCTTTACTTGCTTTCAAATATGTTTCGAGGTCTGAGCTGAGAGCGAAAGAAGGCCAGTGACTCCCTGGCCTGTCGTGTCTGTATATTCTTGGAACCCAGAGTTGGAAAAGCCTGGGTCTGCGGGTCAGACCCCTGGGAGTGAGCTCCGTAGGATACCAGTTATGTGACCCCAAGAAAGTCACAGAACCTCTCCAAGCCTCAATTTCTGCATCTACAAGATGGGGCCTCTCTTGCAGGGGGATTTTGAAGATGAGATGAAAGAAATTATGTTGTGCAGGTACCTTGAAAACCATAGGCACGATTTCAGTGCAAACTGTTATCGTAGCCATTGTGCTTCTGGCATTTTAAGTCACAGATCTAGGTCTTTCCATGGGTCCTAAACTTCAGATCTTTGTGCCCAAACATAGTGCATTGATGTTTGACATTTTGCCGGGTTCTAGAAAGCCGTGTCCTTAGCCCCAGCTGTAGGCTGCAGAGTTCAGAGAGACCCTTTCGCATCTCCCCCAGGCCTAGCCCTGGCCTTGCTCCCATGAGCAGACCAGACTCCAATCTGAGCAACCGAGGCTGCATGTGGAATGGGGCTGTCAGGGCTGCTGTGAGTCACCCTGGGGCTGTCTAGAGGATAGTCCAGGTTCTTACCCTGCCCAGAAGTTCCAGATGGAGCCAATTTGGCTCCATCAAGTGAGGCTCCCAGAGGACCCGTGGTTGGAGCTGGCAGGAACCTCTCGGGATTAGAGTGATTCAGAATGAAGCTTTGGAGGCACCAAGCACTGGGGTCGAATTCCATTTCTGGCACCGCTTGCTGGCTGTAGGTCCTCACCATGGTCACCCCTTCTCTGACCCTCCTGTGTGGGAGGTACAGGAGCCCTTCATATAGGGCAGTGTTAGAGTTAAGGGAGGTGAGATGCATAAACGCTGACACCTTAAGGTGCTCAGCAAGTTTCCTTCCAGCAGGAGCTCATCTGGCCAGGTGGTAAATTTGGTGCATCTGTTTTGTGCGGCCCACACCATGTTTTGCATAGTGGGATCATTTATTTAAAAGTCCCAGTTTTCTGACTTTCTTGAGAATTGGTTGATCTAACATCCTAGCCCACATTCATTCATGGCCACAGCTGGCAGGAGCCGAGCAGCAGCTGCCCCTTGGTCAATCCTGACGGCTCCAGGCCCCATGCAGCTCGCCCTTGTGCCGTATCCAGCCTGCTTCCCAGGTCTGTCCCCAAGGGCTCCTCTCAGTTCTTAAACCTGCAACTCCAAGGCAACTGCAGAGGCAGCTGATGAAAGTCTGAACATGGAATCCAGCCGTGTCTGTCGCATACCTGACGGGGTGTGCTGGGCTGTAGGGTATGAAATGACTTTGCCCTTTTCCTCCAGGAACTATGAAAGCAGCCCTTAGGGAGGCAAAATTGTGCTGCAGTTGTGCTGCTCCTCCCCTCCACAGACAAGGAGAGAACAGGAAACCACATTGCCTTCTCATTGGAGGCACAGGCCTCCTAGGCAGCTTTGCAGCTAAGTTCTGACACAAGCTGTGTGACCTTTGGCAAGTTTCTTAACCTCTCAGTCTTATTTTCTGATCTATAAAGTCAGAATAATAATGCTGATGTCGCTGTTGTTGTGTGGACTACATCAAATTGTGACATGCCTGTCTTATGGCCTGGAGTGGGGTAGGTGTTTTATACCTATCAGATTCCTTCCAGGGGACGCCCAGGAAAAAGGTTATTTATAAACTGACTACCAGGATATCATTAAAACCAGAAGCTTTGAGGGGTACTTAAAACTTGTAGATGACATAGCAAACATTTAAGCTTCTAAGTGTTAAAAATATCTCTAAACAAATGCATATGTCCTACTTCAGGTTATATTTTAACTTGTTTTAATTTTATTTCAGTTTTGAAACCTTTGATGTGAACAGCTTTGAACAATTTTGCATCAATTATGCTAATGAAAAACTGCAACAACAGTTTAACATGGTAGGTGACTTTTCTGCCTTCTTGACTAGTTCTCAGAGGTGTGTGTGTGTGTGTCTGTGTGTCTGTGTGTGTGTGTCTTCATGGAAAGAGGCATTTTTCCTTTAGGTTTTGAGCTTTTATGCAAGGCGCCTCATGCTGGGTCACTACACCACCTTGTGGCCAAATCTTGAAATCACACCCTCTCATCTATTTCATCTTTTTTGAACCACCTACCAAATGAGTGAGCCTTGCTGCTCTTCTTGGATACAGACCCTCTGTGCAGCCAGACAAAACTACTTAGTTGGTTGCCTGAGACCTCCACTTTCTTTCTAGCCTCTCTGCCTTTGCAATTGCTGCTTTCTCTGCCTTAACCCACCCTCTCCTGTTTTTCCCCATTGCTTTATCTTCATCTGGCCAACTCCAGCATGTCTTTTGAGATCCAGCTTCCCTGAGAGCCTTTTATGACACCTCCTAGCCTCACCCTGTGTGCTTCGTTATCACAGGCTCGTCACATGGAATTATTATCATTTGCATGCATGTCTCCAAATAGACTTGGTCACCTGGAGAGGCCAGGACTGGCATTCTTTGTCTCTCTCAGTCCAGTGCTTATCTCGGCGCATGCAGCACTAAACAGCAGATGGCCGATGGATTATGGGAATGAGTTTCTCTGGCCTTAATTTAGAACAAGACATATATGGTACCTTCCTAACTACCGCTAAGATCAAATGTGTCTTCCCATGGAAACAGACAGGAGGTGGATTCCAATTTTCTCCCCGCTGGGAAGATTTATTTATTCAAAAGACATGGAGTGCATATTGTGTATACCGGATAACAAGTTAATTGCTGAGATAGAAAGATGAATAAGGCAATTTTTAAAATGTTGACTAAATGCTACTTGTGGCTGTTTTGGCATTTGTTATTGCTATGTGTATTAAACACAGTTTTAACATCTGAAGTAGGTTCCCTAAATGCAGGAACTATATTGAATTCACTTTTGAATTTTGATTCCAGTTCATAATAGAAATCACACTTTAATATCCTAACACTACTTCAGGGAAAGCCTATACCTTTGTGAGTGTTCAGTCCTACTCTCCCTCAGAACCCCTGAGGAAAAACAGCGTGATGTCTTGGAGAGTGTGGGCTTTGGCTCAAAATAAATTGGGTTTGAATCTCACTGTACCACCTCCTCCCTCTGGGACCCTGGGCTCTCTGAGCCTCTGTTTTCATGTTTTAAAAATGAGTCATCATTACACATCGTGTGCATGTGTCAAAATATCACATCTACCATATAACTATGTACAACTATTATGTATCAATTTTAAAAGAGTCAATATTGTGAGAAGACCTAATATTGAATCCTACTCAAAAGTTTCTTTTTTTTAACCCAGAACTAATGTATAAGCATTAAATTTCATTCCATTATAAATTTTTATTTCTTTAGCATTTGAAAGGCTTTCCTGGAAGTTTAACATTAGTAACTCCAGCTGAGGTTTATTCCAAGTACCTATTCAGTATTTCTCACCTGAAGTCAAACTCTGTGTGGCTGCTGCCCTGTCTCCTGGCTGCAGTGCCGTGCTGCTCCTCCACACGTTCACCTTAACCTCAAAGTGACACGTATGCAGATGCCTTGCCAAAAATCACAAGTCAGAGGCTACAATTCTATTTTTGCTTTTCTCTCCTCTCCTGTTCTCTTCTTCCTCTTCCACGTCCTCCTCCTTCTCTTCCTTTTACTTCTTCTCTTTTTCCTGAGTCATCTGTCAATGTGTAGATCCTCCCAGGATGAGTAGTACCTTCCGTTTTTGGCACAGAAAGTTTTGGTTAGGACTCTCCTGGTCACCAGTCCCCCTCATCTGCTGCCATTGTCCCCTGCACTTGATGCCCCAAGGGAGCTCAACAGTAACAAGTGTAGAAGTGCTGGCACCACCTTCACCTCTCAGCCCGCTTACCCGCCACGTGACTCTGTGGTCAAGTCATGCCATGGACTCCATGTCCTGAGCCTGACATTCATCCTGACCTTTCCCTTCTCATCCTCCTCCCCAAATCCCAGCCACCAAGAGCATCAGGCTGAGTCGTTGTTGGTCTCACTCCTTCTAGTCTTGTTCTCTTCTAAGCCATCCAGGTCTCATCTTAACGCCTCCACCCTCCAGTGGATCCTCACTGCTCCTAGAGAAAGGCCATAGGCCCAGAATTCTCTAGGGAGGGCGTGAAGCTCTCAGGTAATCTGACTCTTTGCTGCTGCATTGCCTCCTGTCCTCCTGTTTTTTCTAACCTGCTTGAGGTGCGTTTCTCAAGTGCCCATTGAGCTTTCATGTGGTTCCCACTGGGATTCCTCCATGGGAGGTTTTTCTTCTTCATGTCCCCCCAAACCCCCTCACCACCTGCTAGCCAAACTTCCTTTCATCCTCCATGGTAAACCCGAGTACATCCTCTGGGAAGGATACTTACCACCCAAATAGGTAGTGCACAAAGATCTCTAAGCAGTGGGCTTCTCCCACTGGCCCCGCAACTAGCATTCTCAGGTAGCTGGCACCACCCAGCCAGGCTGCATTAGGCCAAAGAGGCTGGATTTGTCCTTGGATAGCTGCTAGTGGGAGGGGACCCTAGGACCACCCTGAGTACCATGTGGTGCTGGTGGTGACATAGGCTGGCCCAAGCCACTTCCTAGGAGATGGGGACCCACTCAGACCAGGTGGGAAGATGACAGCTAGACCTGCTTTAGGAGCTCTGCGGTATTGATCATCATATGGGCGTGGTCTGTACTTCAGGGTCCTCGTGTTTAAACGTAAACATTACAGATCAACCGTTGTCGTTTTCCAAATGCTTACGTCCTGCTCTTTGGAAACACATTTTAATATTCTGTTTTACTTTCTGTATTAACTTTGGATTCCCAGCATGTCTTCAAACTGGAACAAGAAGAATACATGAAGGAAAATATCCCTTGGACTCTGATAGATTTCTATGACAATCAACCAGTTATTGACCTGATTGAAGCAAAAATGGGAATTTTGGAGTTATTGGATGAAGAATGCTTGGTAACTGTTAAGAATAATTGTTTTTCTCAACTTTTAAGTAGTAACAGATGAGCATTTTGCAAAGCAATTTTTTTGAAGTGTGCTTGTAAGAACCTGATGTTTACCCGATTGGTCGGATATTAATGCTGGGACAGCGTCCACAGCAGGGACCCCAGAGGGCCTGCCAGGCCTCCCACCTCGGCCTGCGTAGACCACCCCTGGGGAGCTGCACCGCCTCTCAGGTAACGTCTGACACGGAGGTGGACTCCGACGCTGTCCGAAGGTGTAGGTAGAAGTAGGCACGAAAACAGCAGGTGATTCCACTCCAGTTGTCGGTGACTAATGAGAATTGAGTTTTCTTTTATATCCTGGTTCTTGTGAGTCATCAACTATAGCTGAAAAATCAACATCATATGATTCACCACAAGAGCTCTCTAGGAGTTTTCTTCTTACCATTTCCCTCTGGGAAACTCTGAAGTGGGCAGCCTAGCAGTGTCTCTCATGGGGCCACAGGAACAAATAATCCCTAGGAGAGTAGTAATAAGGTTTTGGGGTTAAAGGATTTTTTTTTTTTCTGAGACAGAGTCTTGCTCTGTCACCCAAGCTGGAGAGCAGTGGTGCGATCTCAACTCACTGCAACCTTCACCTCCTGAGTTCAAGCAATTCTCCTTGAATCAGTCGCCTAAGTAGCTGGCATTATAGGTGCATGTCACCAGGCCCGGCTAATTTTTGTGTTTTTAGTAGAGATGGGGTTTCCTTCTGTCTAATAAAAATCACATGTATCAAGAACAAATTTCTCAACTAGCTTAGTACTAGGAGATATGCCCTTATTTCAAGGAGTGAGTTAATTAGAAAGTAAAACAAAAGAATAGCTATTTTCCTGAGTTAGGGGAAGGGGAGGACTCTGTTCAGGTGGCTGTCTTTTCCCATTCATCTGTGAATAAAAGTCATGTTTATGTAATGGAAGCCACACTCTTTTTTCCTCAACCTTTAGACTTCTTTGGGAAGAAATAAAATACTGCCTATTACATAGAAATAAAATGCTTCATTCTAAAGTCATTCTGTGACCATTTCTATTTAAAGTTTTGTTCTTCTAAAGGGACATTGATGTATCCATTAAAATATCACCTCAAATACCCCAAAATATATCTATAATTATTATTCATCAATTAATAATAATTTTAAAAGTACCCTAAAGATTAAGATCAAGGACAAATTAATGCCTAAAGTTGCTTTTTAAAAAGCCTCTAAGGCCAGGTGCAGTGGTTCATGCCTGTAACCACGACACTTTGGGAGGCCAAGGTGGGTGGATCATCTGAGGTCAGGAGTTCGAAACCAGCCTGACCAACATGGTGAAAACCCATCTCTGCAAAAATTAGCTGGGCGTGGTAGCAGGCACCAGTAATCCCAGCTACTTGGGAGGCTGAGGCAGGAGAATTGCTTGAACCCAGGAGGCAGAGTTTACAGTGAACTTAGATGGTGCTGTTGCACTCCAGCCTGGGTGGCAGAGCCCAACTCCATCTCAAATAAATAAAAATAAATAACATTACATAAATAAACAAATAAATAGCCTCCGATTGAGAACAGTTAACTCTAAGGTGCCAAATCACCTTGGTTTCTTAGAATTAGGGCTATTTCTCGCCTGTATGAATCTCTAGTTTTCTTACTTGCTATTTGGTTTATTTTTCTTTTTCAGTTACCACATGGAACTGATGAAAACTGGCTTCAAAAGCTGTATAATAATTTTGTCAACAAGAATCCTTTGTTTGAAAAGCCTAGAATGTCAAACACATCCTTCGTCATCCAGCACTTTGCCGATAAGGTACTGCGAAGGTCTCCAGCAATGCTGTCCACCCAGAACCAGCACAGTCTCCAGAGGGAGTAGGCAGGCCGGGAACGTTTCCGGTCAGATTCAAGTCATACTTGCCGTGCAGCTTTGATGAGTGTGTGTTAACGGCTCCTGATTTGTTTTTATGACAAAATACCTGAGTTTCAACTGTACTACTTTAAAGACGAATGTGTTGTTTAGAAGACCTCACTTCTAATTTTGAATTTCTGTGAATTCATTAACGTCTTATCAGTTTGTTTTGTATGAAGTTGTGATAATCAAGACAGCATAATTCTTTCCTATGATGAAAGCCGTATCTTTTTCTGAAGTTCTTTTTGATTAAACTGGACTGTATTACGATGGTAACCTAGGTTAACTCGAGATGATGATGGGTTTTCTAGGTTATCTTTGTGCTTTTTTCATCTTTTGTGTCTTTTTTCTTCTTTATATGTCTCCTTTTTCTTTCTACTAAACAAATGTGACTTCTGTAAAATGAAAAATTTTTGTTAAAATCACATCACTGAAAGCTTAGAAATCAGAAGGAAAAAATCACCATAACCACCTTGCCTCCATGCACATTCTTACTTGTTTTCCTTTCTTAAGGAAAGCTCATACCTCTTCTCATGTCCTGGTTGGGTGTTGCCCTGGTGGCCCAGCCTAGTGTCAGGGCTCATGGGAAAGGCTCATGCTTATCTGTGTTTATTGCAGAGGCTGGTGCTGTGAGTCAGAGTTGGTCACTAGTTTCTGTAATTCTCTCACCTGCCACTTTCAAGAAGTTTCCCTTTGGGATGGATTACGGATTGGTGGGAAGAACTCACTATGGGATTAGATCAGGTTTTCAGTCTCACTGGCCAGGGGAACCAGGTCATATTGAATGCAAGGCAGCTTAGCTTAGATGTAGCAACTCAGCACATCTTCCTTTGGTCCCAGAGTCCCCAACAGAGGCACCCGCTGCCTGTGACACTGTCCCCACAGATGCCCACCCAGATCAGGAAAGCTCTATATTTGCTACCTTTGCCTCTCTATACTAGTGGTTCACACCACCATTCTGGAAGAGTTTGTACAGCCGTCCATGTACTTCACTCACAAAGAAGTGTTTACAAACAGCCAGTATTCCTGGATCTTAACCTACCAGCAAGGACACTTCCTTACCTGGGTGACAAAGCAGAGGCCATCCCCAGGGAACCCTCTGCCTCTGGATTCCAGCACCCTCCAAAGCTTGTTTCCTCATTGTCAATTTTAAAATTAATTTTAATATACCTTTTTAATTTATGAAAAATATATTATCCCATATTAAAATATGCAATCCAGAGGCATAAACTAGGGGGGCGTTGACTGTTTAAGCTTTCACTCTGGATATGCCATGGTGTGGGGGGCTTGAGAAGCCTTACTCATCAGAAAGGGCAGCATGGAGAGGTTTTCTAAGCCAGCTTAGAGTGCAGACGTTTATCCACTCTAAACCTGACTCTGAGGGCTTGGTGGCTCTCGAAGGCTTGATGGTCAGCTGGTTGGCTTTTCTTGTCTGTTTTTTTGTTGTTGTTGTTTTTGAGATGGAGTTTCGCTCTTGTAGCCCAGGCTGGAGTGCAATGGCATGATCTTGGCTCACTGCAACCTCTGCCTCCCGGGTTCAAGCAATTCTCCTGCCTCAGCCTCCTGAGTAGGTGGGACTACACCGTGCACCACCACGCCTGGCTAATTTTGTATTTTTAGTAGAGATGGGGTTTCTCCATGTTGGTCAGGCTGGTCTCAAACTCCTGACCTCAGGTGATTCACCTGCCGCGGCCTCCCAAAGTGCTGGAATTACAGGTATGAGCCACCTCACCCAGCCAGTTTTTCTATCCTTTCTGCCATATTGATGTTGATTTAGGAAAAGATGTCTGTTTGAACCCAATGAACACCACTGAGCTTTTTCCTCCTCCTGGTGGCTTCAAAGGCAAAGGGCACCCTGAGTCAGGTGTTCCTGTATGAACTGCACATACCACAGGGAGCAACTGGACCTCTGTGGCCAGAGAGAACTGACAGGTGAGTGCAGAGTGATCAGCAGGTGCATGAGAAATCCAGGTGGTGGGAGAGAAGACACATTCCCAGCTTATACATAATGGTCTACTGCCGTGACGCACAAAAACCAGACCTCTTTTTGTAAGACTGCCTTTATAGCCTTTTTATTGATCTTAAAAAAGAGATAGAACTTGTACTTAGGTGCTATCTTCTTTGGCTTCTTTGAGAATAATTAATTGCTTTCTCTGTATAGGTAGAATATAAATGTGAAGGTTTCCTTGAGAAAAACAGAGACACCGTCTATGACATGCTGGTTGAAATCCTGAGAGCAAGCAAGGTCTGTAAAGTCCTAGGGGCAACTAAAGTTATTTTATAATTGACATGGATCTAAATATATATAAGGAAAGAGTAAGGAGAGAGAGAATGTGTGTGTGTGAGTGTGTGTGTGAACTCTCTGAACAGTGGTAAGTTGTAGCTCACAGATACAAAAAGATAACTATTGTAAATCTCTACCATATGCAAAATCAGAAATCAAACATGCAGATGATAGGAAGGACAGCTAACACAATCATTAAAGAACCACAGTTCCGGCCGGGCGCGGTGGCTCAAGCCTGTAATCCCAGCACTTTGGGAGGCCGAGGCGGGTGGATCACAAGGTCAACAGATCGAGACCATCTTGGTCAACATGGTGAAACCCCGTCTCTACTAAAATTACAAAAAATTAGCTGGGCACGGTGGTGTGTGCCTGTAATCCCAGCTGCTCGGGAGGCTGAGGCAGGAGAATTGCCTGAACCCAGGAGGCGGAGATTGCGGTGAGCCGAGATTGCGCCATTGCACTCCAGCCTGGGTAGCAAGAGCGAAACTCCGTCTCAAAAAAAAAAAAAAATCACAGTTCCAGCCAGATGTGGTGGCTCACGCCTGTAATTGCAGCACTTTGGGAGGTAGAAGTGGGTGTATTGCTTGAGGCCAGAAGTTTGAGACCAGCCTGGCCAAAAAGGCAAGACTCTGTGTCTTCTAAAAATATGAAAAACATTAGCAGGGAGTGGTGACACACCTGTAGCCCCACCTTCTTGGGAAGCTGAGGTGGGAAGAATGCTTGGCTCTGGGAGGTGGAGGCTGGAGTGAGCCATGATGTCCCCACTGCACTGTAGCCTGGGCAACAGAGCAAGACCCTGTCTCAAAACAAAAAAAGAAATTCACTCTGAGAGAAGATAAGACATTCAAAGAAATGACTGAAACAAGGCAGAATGTAGTAAGTGCTTTATAAGAGGTACAAATACAAGATGAAGATGGTTCAGAGAATTTGGGATTAATTCATTAATTGTGAAGGGGGTGGGGCTAGAAAACATTTTAACAGATTCATGGGTAGGGTTTGCATCTTCAGGGATGAGAATGTGGAGTAGGAGGGAGGAGATTCCAGGTGGAGACACAGTGTGAGCGAGGCATGGAGGTGAGAATAATAGATATTCCACTTTCTGACACAGTGATACCCATGCAGAGCGATACCCACACAGAGATATTCACACACTTTTCTTCTCTGTTCCTGTTCTGGGGAAAGAAGCCACGGGCCATCCCTAGGGAAGATGATCCTCTTGTGGAATTGAGATTTGGCTGTAGGGGGTGGTGAGGTCGTTTTCCGCCCACCATTGATGTGGCTTGTATGAGTAAGGACTGCACACAGTTGCTTTTGGACATTGAGATCCTCTCTGTTCTTTCCAGTTTCATCTCTGTGCCAGCTTTTTTCAAGAAAATCAAGTTCCTCCTTCTCCTTTTAGTTCGATGATTACGGTTAAATCTGCCAAGCAAGTCATCAAGCCAAACAGCAAGCACTTCCGGACCACCGTGGGGAGCAAGGTACTAGGAAGGTGTTTGAGAGCAAGGGGGCTGAAGGCAGGGCCAGGCCCTGGGGAGCCAGGGCACTCAGACATGGACAGACGCTGGGGCTCTTCCAATCTGACATGCGCTCCACTGCAGGAAGTTCATCGTCGTCATTCTTCCACCTCCAAGGCAGCACGCGCTGGAGCAAACCACATTTGTGCACAATCACATGGTTTATTAAGTTCTCCGCTGTTTGGGAATATTAGAGAAGTGTTCTGTTCAGAACAGTAGAATATGCTGATAAACCACAGTCATGGACTGAAACCTTTCGTGATAGATGTTTATGTGCAAAGTTAACTTTTCTTCCTATTGAGTAGCTTAAAAAGGTTGGGCTGCTTTTTACCGTGAGGTAAGCAGTACCTCATTTCAGAGCCATGTTTGATCTCTAGCTTTGTTTCCTAGTTCCGCAGCTCTCTGTACTTGCTCATGGAGACCCTCAATGCGACGACACCGCACTACGTTCGATGCATTAAGCCAAATGATGAGAAGTTACCCTTTGAGTAAGTGTTCTTATGCGACACACGGTGAAGATGCGGGGAGGCAGTTTCTGCCATAAAGTTGGAGAATTTGCTTCCAATTGTCTTGAGCTGTACCCTGTTTCTAGGTTTTTTTAATGATTCAAAACAATGCTGCCCTTTACGTAAAATGTTAGCCTCTCTGGTTAAAAACCCCCTCATCTCCAGGGCTAAGCAAAAAGGCTAGATTTTAAAAAATCAGCCTGGGTAACAAAGCAAAACTCTGTCAAAAAAAAAAAAGAATGAGATGTATGTTTGTAGAAGGTCGTAAAAGATCCAAAGATTTGTCCTCCCACATGATGGCATGAGGCATTAGGCTTGTTCTCAGGTACCCTATGGAAGAGACCCAAAGTCTGTGAATGTAAGGTATAAAGAGTCCCTTGTAGCTCACTAGAGCTGAAAGAGGCGCCTGAAGGGGGATGCATTGTCTATGGAGGTGGGAGTGTCTGTGGGTCACTAGATGGGTGAGACTTAAGCTGCAGAGCCACCTGCTGGGTATTTTGTGAAGGAAATTCAAGCATCAGTGCGTGCTTGGGCCAGGCAAGCTAGCACATTTCTTTCTACCTGGTTGTCATTTGAAGGTCAACCCAAAGGCCAGTTCCCCCAAGACCATTTCCCTGCCGCCTCCATCAGAGTCAGCTGCTCCTTTCTCTATCCCACTGCATCTTGCTGGACTGTTTTGCAGAGGGGCTATTTTTCTTGGTCATACAACAGAAACTTATTAAGTCTCTGCTGGACACCTGGCATGGGGCCACAGTCTAGGCAGGTCTGCTATGCCTGTCGGCATATTCAGCAATTACGATATCTTAACACATAATAACATTGTTATTTTTTAAGATTTGACTCCAAAAGAATTGTTCAGCAGCTGCGAGCCTGCGGTGTGCTAGAAACGATTCGCATTAGTGCACAGAGCTACCCTTCCAGGTATGTTGTCCATCCTTCTTTTGCAGGGGAAAATGCCCGACTTTAGAGCTGTGCTGAGAACCAAGGATGTGGCTGCCATGATTTTTGTCACATGCTTTCAGCTTCTGTAAAGTGCCCCAAGATTTTCCCATTGCCCTTTTGGAAGTCTAGAAGAGGGTGAGAAATAGGCTTTGTGGGGGACAGTGGCCACCAACATCTCCTTACCCCATCACTGCATCTCAGCTGCTGGTGGCGGCCCCACTGCCTCTCCGGGGTGCTGGGGAAGACACTGAGTGGGAGAAGGACAATTGCTGGGGCAGACAGGTATGCTCAGGGTGTCTTGGTAGTGTCTCAGGCAGGGGGTATCAAAGATCAGTGCCATCATCCTAAGGACAGATTCCACCACCCATGCCCTGTGACAACAGTGGCAGGTAAGGCAGCGGAGTCCCCAGACACAACATGCTTCCTCTGACACGCCTGGCTTTGATCCCCTTTGATTTTCCAGGTGGACATACATAGAGTTCTACAGCCGCTACAGCATTCTCATGACCAAGCAAGAGCTTTCCTTCAGCGATAAAAAGGAGGTGTGCAAGGCTGTTTTACACAGATTCATCCAGGTTAGTTTCCCCACCTCCTGGGAGTGTGGTCTCCTTCCTGGAAGCACATCTCCCACACGTGCTGTTTCATCTTTGTGTCGGACTCTCAGGACTGTAATCATGAACACCTGAGAAGAAAGAAAAGATGCCCTGAGCATTTATCTGCTAAGGAGACCATAGCAGAGCACTCCCTGGGCCGTGAATCCCCATTGGGAACCTACATCCAAACCCTGGCCTCCCCAGTGTCCTCATGTCCTGCTTTGTTCTCCCATGATCTAACCCTGTCCTCTGTGGACCAGGCTTATAGGATATGGTCAGTTGGGGTGGTTGTTGAGTCATGTGGCTCCAGGCATGGTGCCCAGTGTGGATTGATGTCATTGCTGCAGTGATGAGTTGTGATGGGAAAGAATGGGGAGTTCCAAGGTCCTGCAAAGGTGGTGGTGAAGAGAACCCAGAATGAAGACAGAAAACCAAACTTCCCCAGTTTCTTCTACTCTGATGTGGAGACCACGTGAGAGCAGCTGAGGTTCTTGGGAGCCCAGCTGAGAATCGCTGCACGCGACCCTCACTCCCCTTCTCGCTCACAGATGGATTCCACAGCCTGAGTCCCATTTCTTCCTCCAGTGTGACTTTAAACAAACAACTCAAAGGATGCATTTCTAGATCACAATATGAATATTTCTGCTCTAAATGGCAAAATAGGTCTTTTCCAAATATTATGCTATAGACAATCTGAAAGATTTTAATTCTGCCTCTATCATTTTTCTCTTCTAGGATTCTAATCAGTACCAGTTTGGTAAAACCAAAATTTTCTTCAGAGCCGGACAAGTGGCTTATTTAGAGAAACTTCGACTGGATAAACTGCGGCAGAGTTGTGTGATGATACAAAAGCACATTCGTGGCTGGCTCCAGAGGAAAAAATTCCTCCGGGAGAGACGAGCCGCCCTGATAATCCAGCAGTACTTCCGGGGTCAGCAAACCGTGAGGTATGTTGGAATCAAGGAACACATGTGGAACTGTGGGGCTTTCTGTGCGGATCATCTCTGGGGGAGCAGCCATCAAGGACAAAGGACCTTTCTCCTGTGACCCAGGGTGCAGCTGTGCATGGGTCCCTTTTTGTGGTCACAAGCATTGAGGCAAGAAGGGTTCATCTCTCAGGGGCAGGTAGTGCTGGCTCTGCCTGGTGTCTGCGTGGTGAGCTGAGACCCAGGGACCTGTAGGGAGGAAGCCCTGGTGAGAGTGTTACTAAGGAGAGTCAGAGTTCCAGAAGCCCAGGGAGAGGCCCAGGGCCTTTCCTGTGGGAATTGAAAATGCCAAAGACCATCAAGGCCCTAGTGAAAATCCAAAGGACAGATGCAAATAATAGCCAGGGACTAGCCTGCCTGCCACATTGGAGGGTACACCATGGCAGAGGGGGTCCCTGGCAAGGCCTGGCAGCAAACCCATCGCACAACCCCTGAGGAGGAAGGCTACAGCAGCCCCAGCTGAGCGGAGGGCTGAGGGGAGGGTGGTCCATCAGCTATGCCGATCCCACCTGCCTCGGGGGTCCCGAGAGTCCACACGACCCTGCTAGCCCACTGAAGGACCAGGGTCATTCCGGGACTTTCGGGGCTTCGGTGTACCTGCTGGAAAGCATGAGACCAGGGTGCTCCTAGATAAACTGTGTGTTTCTCTCTGCCCGTCCTGCTTCTTCCTTGGGATCCTGTGAGGTTGCTTGAGAAGGCTGGCATTTAGGGTTAGGCTGTGTCTGTGAGCCTGACTTCTTCCTCGGCTTGAGGCTGGCCTGTGGCACCATCTGGCCTCTGCATGACCAGCGTGGACACACAGCCAGGCTGGCTCACCCTCCTGTGCTTCCAGCTCAGCGGATAACAGCAGTCTTCTAGAGAAGGAAACCAGTTATCTTCCCCTCCAAGGCCGTGCTGCCTTTCCCTGTGGGTCTCACCAGGGCCTGATCTGCTCTGCTGACCTCTTGCCTGTCCCATTCATTGCATCCCACTGCTGTCCCCAGGTTAGGCTCACAGCATCACCTGCCTTGTACTCTGATGGCACTGTGCTCCACCTGTCATCTCCCTCCCATCTTCCTGCATCAGAGCCTGACTGAGCCACTGCTCTGCACCCGCCTTTAATTCATCTAAAGACCCCTGTTTCCTATAGAATAGCATTCAGTCTCTGACATGGTATTCAAAGCCCTCCATAGCCTGGGTGCATTCATAAGAATGGAAGCTCCATGAGGACAGGGACCACACTTGTTGGGTCATCCATACCTAGACCTAGCATGGTAGTTGTCATAGCAAGTGTTCAACAAATATATTTTTAATATAACAAATGGTGCCCATCTATTTTTCTAACCTCACTGAAGACTGATTTTCTTTATGCATTTTATTATTCTAGGGATTCTGAAAAAACTCCTTCTCTGAGTATTTCAGGCATTGCTGGGCCTCCGTGCCTTTACTCATGCTGGTCCCTCATTCTGAAAGCCTTTTCCAGCCTCCACTGTGTACAGACATCCTACTCCATCAAGGGCTGGCTTGTATCAGCTCTTCCCAAGCTGAATAACCATTTTTTCCCCTCTCACTTACATGGCTTGTTAGTGGGAATTTTACTTTTTCTCTTTCTTGGCCATTTGTTAGTCTTTCTGTACATGAGGCTGTGAACTCTAAAGACAGGAACATTATCTTCACCTCTAGTCATTTGGACAGGGGCAGCAAACTTTTTCTGTAGAGGACCAAATGATAACTGTGTAAGGCATTGAGGGCAATCTCTCCTGCTGCCATGCCATGAAAGCAGCCATGGGTGAGTTGTAAATATAGCTGTGTTCCAGTAAAGCTTGACAATGGCAGGCAGCAGCCTGAGTTGGCCCATGGGCCACCATTTGCCAGCCTTGATCTGGAGGCTCCAGCATCATTTCCCACATGAATGAATGAGGACATGAATGAGCAAGTGCAGCGCCAGTGCACAGTCTCCTTGTCATGGTCTCTGTGGGCACCTGAGGGGAGGTGAGTCGATTGGCCTGAATAGGAAGAGAAAGTGCCCATGTGGTTCTTCAAGGAGAGGGAACTGGGGATTGGCCTCGAGTAGGCATTAGGATAAACACTCAGAGAGTTTAATGAGGAGAGGTACAACATATTTGAACCTTCCTTACTAAACACATGTTAGCCAAGCCTGCAGCTCTGTTATGGAAGTTGATGCCCTGTGGATAACAGACTCACTCTTCATCCTTGTTAACCAAGGAAAGCTATTACTGCAATGGCCTTAAAAGAAGCCTGGGCAGCCATAATCATTCAGAAGCACTGCCGTGGATATCTTGTTTGCAGTCTGTATCGGCTGATTCGCGTGGCTACCATCACCATCCAGGCCTACACCCGAGGATTCCTGGCAAGGAGGAGGTATCGAAAGGTACAGCGAACCTCTCTGTAGAGGAGGGAAGGGTGTACAGGCCTTCCTTACTGAGAACGAAATAGGGCCCAGGGAGAGACTTCACTATGGGCAACCTCGCTTTGCACAAAATGTCAGCCAAGCCAGAAAGGAGATTCTGCCAGGTGCTGTGGCTCATGCCTATAGTCCCAACTAATCAGGGAGCTGAAGTGGCAGCATCCCGAGAGCCCAGGAGTTCGAGGCTGCAGTGAGCTATGATCACGCCAGTACACTCCAGCCTGCATGGGCGACAGAGGGAGATCCTGTCTTGAAATACACACACACACACACACACACACACACACACACACACCACACCACACCCCAGAGGGAGATCCTGTCTTGAAATACACACACACACACACACACACACACACACACACCCAGTAGGACTGTTAGTTTCTCTTTCTCACAGTTGGCACCAAAGGAAAGTATATTTTAGGCCAATAATGTGCAGGCCGTACCCCCAGCAGACCTCACCTGAAGCAGAGACTGAGTGGGGAAAGAAACTTTAAAAGATCAGCACACTGCCAGCCCACAGACTGGAGAGAGCTCTCACAGCCAGATGGGGTGGGCCAGCATGCTCCAAATCCAAAGAAACCAATTCAGAGTAATGTAAAATTGAACCAGTTTTGTACATAAGCTATTCAGTTTTGCTCTAGCACTGACTAATACAAAGCACTATGAGATGGCACTTTTAGGGGCAGCAGCTTCAGACCCAGAAAGGGGTGATGAGTTTCATATGGCAAAGATATAGTTTTCTTTCTTTCAAGGAGGCAGGAGAGCAGTAAGTGTTCACTTCGGCATAGGGGTGTATGATCCATCCTGAGTGGATGGGAAAGGGGTTGAGATAGGACAAAAGTTTGGTCTCAGAGATTTCACCATCTCAATTTGGTCACTTCTGATGAAAAAATTAAAAAGTTGTCCAAAGATATTTTAAAGCTGAAAACCTGAACAGTATATTTTGGGGGTTTCTTTCTGGCTAACTCCTGGAATCACCTTTTTAAAAACAATATATTTATTTATTTTTGAGACAAGGTCTCACTCTCTTGCCCAGGCTGGAGTGCAGTGACACAATCACAACTCACTGCATCCTCAACCTCCTAGGCTCAAACGATCCTCCCATCTTGGCCTCCTGAGCAGCTGGGACCACAGGCCTGAGACACCATGCCCAAGACACCATGCCCAGCTAATTTTTCTTTTTTTTTTTTCATAGCGAATGGGTCTCTATGTTGCCAAAGCTGGTCTAGAGCTCCTGGGCTAAAAGGGCCCTTATGCTTCAGCCTCCTGAGTAGCTAGAACTATAGGTACATGCCACCAGACCTGGCTAAGTTTTACATTTTTTTGTAGAGATGAGATATTGCTAAGTTGCCTAGGCTGGTCTTGAACTCCTGGCCTCAAGTGATCTTCCCTCCTGGGTCTCCCAAAGCTCTGGGATTACAGATGTGAGCTATAGGCCTGGCCCTAGTACAACTGCTTTGATGCTGAATATGGCAAGTATCTTTCTGAGATAACTAGTCTCTGCAACAACAACAAAAAGAAACAAAAGAAAAAAGAAAGTTATGGCAGAGACCAATTTCTTGGGGCATGGGTTTCTCATACCATTTTTTACCAACAATAGCAAGACTGCTTTTCTGCATAAAGACCTTCCCGGAGACAAGGGAGTTCTAGTATGAGAGTATCTGTTCATACACACCTGCTATAGGTAGGCTTTGGTTATTGTTTGAAAAGTCTAGGTGTGATATGGCTCTGCAGGTTGGCAAGAAGAAACTCATTTTCTACACTGTGGCAGTTACATCTTTCAGGGTTGGAGGCATAGAGGAGGAGTTGGGGTCCAGTTTATATTTCACAAAATCTTGTTTTAAAGATGCTGGAAGAACACAAGGCCGTGATCCTGCAGAAATATGCACGGGCATGGCTGGCCAGACGCAGATTCCAGAGTATCCGACGATTCGTGCTCAACATTCAGCTTACTTACAGGGTCCAGCGTTTGCAGAAAAAGTTGGAAGATCAGGTAGGTGCTCGTAGTGCATCTTTTATGTCTACGTTTTCTTACATGGGTGTATTTTGTTCTGGAGCAGTTTCTTAGCTGTGCTATTAATATGTATGCCCATGTTAGGAGGTTCACACCATTTACGTGGACCCCATGAGCTAGGAAACAGAAGTACACTGTAGAGTTGCTGCCTGTGGTGGCAGAGGTTGTATACTGCACAAATGTGCCTACCTCAGATAGCAGGTGGGACTGAAATCCAGCCTGCCTCCACTTATCAAGGCAGGTGTTCCTGTGTGAAGCTGTGCTGCCTTAAGGCAAAGATACCTCCTAATTTGCTCAAAGATGCTGTCTGCATGCCAAGCATGCTGCCTTGGGATTGCATCAGCTCAAAGGAGCTGCCAGTTCTAATTTTCCCACAGGTGCCTTAGGGTCTGGCTACAGCCCTGCCTAGTTTGGGAAGATTCTCCATACCATTCCCACTGGTAGGAAAAGAAACATCCATATGCTCTCAGCTGTTGGGGAGGGCTATGGAACACACAGTGTCCAGGTCCATAAAACTCACTCCCAGGCCTGTCTTAAATAAACCTGAGCCTCTCCTAAGGTGAGCTTTAAACTTAGCCCTAAGCTATACCACAGGGCTCTTGAATGAATGAGTGTGTGTGTGAACAAATAGACTTGGAGTCAGGTGGGTTTCCCTTCTTTGTGCTGTTGCATAACAGGCCTGCATGCTACACAGTTTGCGCAGAATAGCGCTTAAAAATAGCAGTGGCCAGGCCAGGTACAGTCACTCACACCTGTAATCCCAGCACTTTGGGAGGCCGAGGCAGGCGGATTACATGTGGTCGGGAGTTTGAGACCAGCCTGACCAACATGGAGAAGCCCCATCTCTACTAAAAATGGAAAATTAGCCAGCATGGTGGCACACGCCTGTAGTCCCATCACTCAGGAGGCTGAGGCAGGAGAATCACTTGAACCCGGGAGACAGGTTGCAGTGAGCCGAGATTGAGCCATTGTAGTCCAGCCTGGGCAACAAGAACAAAACTCCGTCTCAAAAAAAAAAAAAAAAAAAAATAGCCACAGCAATGCCAGGCAGGAGTCCTGATGCTGCCTGAGCTCCGTTTTAGGTGTGTTAGTTTGCAGGACTGTCACAGCAAAGTATCATTGACTGGATGGCTTAAACAACAGAAGTATACTGTCTTACAGTTTTGGAGGCTGGAAGTCCCATATCAAGATATTCGCAGGGTTGGTTTCTTCTGAGGCCTCTCTCCTTAGCCTGTGGGTAGCTGGCACCTCCCTTTGTCTTCACATGATCTTCCCTCCATGCCTGTGCCTGTGTCTTAATTCCCCCCTTCTTCTAAGGATGGCAATCATATTGGAGTAGGGCTCACCCTGAGGGCTCGTTTCACTCAATTCCCTCTCTAAAGGCCTAGGTTCAGAGGTTAGAACTTCAACAAACAAATTTTGGGGGGCAAAGTTTGGCCCATAGCAGTAGGGTTGTCCTGGTTCTCTAGGACTGGAAATGTCCCACGTTAAAACAGCCACCAGTTTGGGAAGACATGTACCCAGCAAGATCTTGCCATGCTGGTTTCACCGTGGAGAAGATCAACAAGTGTCAGTGCAGTGATAAGTGTGATCAGCCTAAAGCAGCTGCTTGGATTTGGATTCCGTGTCAAAGGCTGTGAGAATTAAATGGAACAGCATCTCTTTTTGGATAAACCTCTAAACATTGGATTTTCTTTTCTCTAGAACAAAGAAAACCATGGGCTGGTGGAGAAGCTGACCAGCCTGGCTGCTCTTCGAGCTGGGGATGTGGAAAAGATTCAGAAGCTGGAAACAGAGCTAGAAAGAGCAGCCACCCACAGGCAGCATTACGAGGAGAGGGGGAAGAGATACAGGGGTACCGTGGAAGAGGTGAGCCGTGGGCTTGTGAGCTGGGAGGGAAAGATGCGGACTCTCTGTGAAAAAGAGGAGCCCTGCAGGCTTTTCCTATGAGGCGGATTTCTGCAGAGCACATCAGATTTTGCTTTCAACTTCCATTACCAAAGGGAGCCTCCCTTTTTAGGAAAAGCGAGATCAGCGCATTCAAGTCTAGGGGAAGGGAGGGGGTTAATAATTAGAAATGCAACATAGGTTTTCTTTTTTTGAGTTTTCAAAGTAACGAAAGGCCCAAAGAGCTTTGGCTGCCCCTTCCCTTTCTTCATGACCTTGGTCCCCTGTGACTTGTCCTTAAGGTCTGTGCCCTGGAAACATCTCCCCCTGAACAGCACTGCAAAGTTAGGGTAGGGTTTTTATCTCCAGTGTAGTGAAAAGAGCAGTCAATGTAAAAACCAGATGCCCTAGATTGAAATCTTGCCTTTGTCTGGCTGGACAGCCTTGGCTAAGTCTCTTACCCTCTCTGAATTTTAGTTTCCTCATAAAAAAATGAGAATAACAAAAAAGGGCTGACAGAATTGTTGTGAGAATAAAATGGTCAGATGAAATACTCTAGCCAAATGTCTACGGTGAGTCCCTGCAAAAGTATGAGCTAGTGTGTTCTAGGAAGATGGTCTTTATTACCATTCACGCTGCTGCATTTTTTTTTCTTTTTTCTTTTTTTTGAGAAGGAGTCTCTGTCACCCAGGCTGGAGTGTAGTGGCATGATCTTGGCCCACTGCAACCTCCATCTCCTGGGTTCAAGCGATTCTCCTGCCTCAGCCTCCTGAGTAGCTGGGATTACAGGTACCCGCCACCACGTCCGGCTAATATTTTTGTATGTTTAGTAGAGGTGGGGTTTCACCATGTTGGCCAGGCTGGTCTTGAACTCCTGACCTCAAGTGATCCACCTGCCTTGGCCTCCTAAAGTGCTGGGATTACAGGCGTGAGCCACCGCACCTGGCCTCTGCTGCATTTTCAAAGTCTTAGCACCCAGGTTTGGTAGCTTGGAGGCCCAGAAGACATCCCTTTGCCCTCCCATGACCCGGTGCTGGGTGCACCAACACTGCTGCGGTGGGCATCAGCAGCTGCCTGTCACCATCAGTCAGCACCACAGGGCCTGCTGCCAGCCCAGCAGACACTTTACCAGGAGAAGTTGAAATGATAGGAATTCTGCTGTGCTCACACATCCTTCCTGAGTCATAACAATTGCAAAGTGTGAATCTCCTTTATGGCATCAACTGCGTAATCATAGCATATTGGATACATAAAGTCCCCTGGCTATTGAGAAGCTCTGCAAAAGGAAGAGGTACATCCTTGACATCAAGGAGCCTCTAGATGTATCCTTTCTCCTTGTTTGAGCCCTTGCTTACTGGGTCAGGAATAGTGTCAGTGTCACCTTTGAAGCCACGTTGAGCCCTTGCATGTGGAAGTAATGGCAGCATCTTACAGTGGGCTGGTGCAGGCTGTTATCTAGGGACAGGAGCTGAGAAAAAATAAACTTATTTAAGAATATACATCTTTTGCCAAGGCAATGGTGACAACTTGAAGTGAGGTTTTTCAAAAAAGTTTGCTTTTCCCCCTTCCCTCTGCTAGAAATTGGCAAAGCTTCAGAAGCATAATTCAGAACTGGAAACAGAGAAAGAAAAAATACAGCTGAAGCTTCAAGAGAAGACTGAAGAGTTGAAAGGTAAAGCTCCAGGGGCTTACAAATCCAGACATTCACTGATTTGCCACTCAGTCAACAGTATTGGGGGTGACCAGTTTTAGAACCAGGGGTTTCTCGCATACACTTAGTTTAGTGAGACAGTTTTCATCCACAAGGAATAACTACATTTAAGTCATGGTAACTTTGCCCTACAGATTCATCTATTTTATTTCCCTCTTTTGTCAGACAGCAGAGCAGTTCCTCTCTGTGCCTTAGAACCTCCTGGACCCTTTGCAAAGTACAGATAGTCAGACCATGAGCCCAGAGCTTTTGCGTCAGAAGATGGGTGTGTGTGTATGTGCGCACATGGGTGTGTGGTGGTGTCAGAGGTTGTTCAGACATCTGTAATTTAGAAAACCTTTATGGTGATTCTGATGTACCATCAGGGTAATGCTGCGGTCATGTTTGGTGCTCACCAAAGATTTGCAGAAAACATTTCCATCTGTGAGGGTTAGCCCAAGTGACACCCATGTCCTCTGCCACTGTCCTGCCCTGAATGAAGGGCAGACCCTGCAACCAGTAGTATCACTTCCTTTAGGGGTGTGGCACAGCTATGCTTGGCCTCCCTCCATCCGTTTGGGCTTTCCAGCTCAAATTCAACTTGACAGTACTTGCTGTATCCCAGAAGAGGCAACAGGCCACAGAGCCTGGCAGTCCCTGACCAGATGTGTTTAAATCACCACTCTCAGTGATCTTGTCTAGGGGGCTCCACTGGGGGCAGCAGGGGCATGAGGGTTCAGGCCTGGGATTCTACTCGCACCTCTGGCCCAGCAGGTGGTGGATATGACAGGACCCAGAGGAGCGCAGAGCCCCAGGAGTTCTGGGGGCAGTGGGAGGGGCAAATGTTGATGAAGAGGGAGTAAACCACCTGAGACCAGGCACTGGGGCAGGAAAGGCTGTGCAGGTGCTGACAGGAGCAGGGCATGCCCTCTCATTCCAATGCTGTGAGCCCTCCACCTTGTCTCTATAGGGCTGAGGGTGTGGACACAGGAGCCATGTGACTGTCAGAGATGAACAGGAGCAGGTCAAGTCTGGAGTAAACCTTGATCCTGAGTTAGAAAAGGGTTTCCCCATCTCCACCCTTTTTATTACAACACACTCCTCTTGGGTAGTTATTTTGGGGTTTTCTCCCCCTAATTTCAAGTAGAATTTCCCACAAGGACATTTAAATTCTCAGGAATATAACCCGAAAATTATATTTCTGAGACCATGTCATGTTTGGATAAGTAACTTTATATCCTCTTCTAAAAAGTCCATGACAACTTTCAACCTAATAATTATAAGCTGCTTATCCTGTGTGCCTCCCAGACATGGCAAACAGTGTTTTCCGAACAGCACCAGCTTTTACCTATGCTTGTGACCTGTGACCCACAGATGCTATCAAATGGTATTTCCCCTTTTTGAGATTCCAACTTAACCTGAACATAACCCCGTTCCTCTTAGGAAGTAAATCACATTTGAGCAGCTTCTTTAGCTCATTTGCAAATGGCCCAAGATGGTAAGCACCAGAATTAAAGCCAATGCTTTTGGTTAATTTAAAGTTGAAGTTTTATCAGATGTGTTGGCTTCTAAATTAAAGCTTGAGCGTTTCCTGGCTGCCTTACAACTTTCTGAAGCAGTCATTTTGATGCGGAAACATTTAGCACTATGTTAGACAAACTATTAAACCATTGGCTTAAAAAAAAAAAAGTAATTTGAGGCCGGGCATCGTGGCTCACACCTATAATCCCAGCACTTTGGGATGCCAAGGCGGGTGGATCACGAGGTCAAGAGATCAAGACCATCCTGGTCAACAAGGTGAAACCCCATCTCTACTAAAAATACAAAAATTAGCTGGGCATGGTGGTGCGCGCCTGTAGTCCCAGCCACTCAGGAGGCTGAGGCAGGAGAATGGCTTGAACCCGGAAGGTGGAGGTTGTGGTGAGCCAAGATTGTGCCATTGCACTCCAACCTGGGTAACAACAGTGAAACTCCATTTCAAAAAACAAAAAAAAGTAATTTGGAGAATTGCTATCGACACTACACCCCAAGGACCCCTTCTGGGGTGGGGCTCAGAGGCGGGGTCAATGATGAGATGTCAGCCTAGTGCAAACAGAGACATCACTGTTGAAGAGGCTGCATTGCCGGTCTCCCATTTCGATGGCCCTGTGGCATATGGGTGTGTTGGGAGTGTGGGGTTGTCACAGCCACGGATGTCCTGCCCTTCAGCCTGCAGACTTTGTGTTTACTACTCTTGTATTTCAGTGTTAACAGCTGTCTTTTTTTGTACTTCCTCTTCCCCAGATGAAGGCAAACAATTATTTTCTCAGTTATCACAGATGAGTAGTTCTCAGCTTTGCTTGCTGCTGCCCCACCCCCAGGCATTTGGCAATGTTTGGAGACAATTTTGGTTGTCACAGCTGGAGCAGAGGTGCTACTGGCTTCTAGAGGGTAGAAGCCGGGATGCTGCTCAAAATCTTGCAATGCACGGGACAGCCCTTCTCCACAGCAGAGAGTTATCCAGCCCAAAGTATCAATAGTGCCAACATTGAGAAGCCTTGTCACAAATGGATCATTTTCTCCCCAAAGGGTTTCTATTTATTTTTAATAATATTCATTGTCTCACATCCAATATACCTATCTTAATAAATGACAGTCATAAATGATAAAAGTACTATAAATGAAACTATTGATAATTCCAACCTGACAGATTTGTGAGAATTATTTTGAATCCCTCTCATCTGTATTTCATGTTTATAAAAAATGATCTACACTATCACTGTAAGTCCTGTTAGTAATAAACATCACACGATTGTTAAACTTAACATGAAACAATCAAGTTACTGATTTGGCAGACATACCTCAAAAAGCATTCTCTTTTTACAGAAAAAATGGACAACCTCACCAAGCAGCTCTTTGATGATGTACAAAAGGAAGAACGACAAAGAATGTATGGAACCTGGTTTGCCTTAAAGCTACTTCTTTCTTCTCTCCATGCTGTTTTATATTTTCCTTCTCAGCTTGCATATAGCAGATCACAGATACAGGAAAGTGGGGTGTGACTATTTTTAGGAAGTGAGATTAGAGATTTATGAGAGCTGAGTTCCACAATGTGTGCCATAAGATACTGCACACATTCTGGAGTAGTCCATAAAGCTTCTGCTGGGTGGGTACAGCGGACTACCAGGAATTTCTTTCTTTTTTTACTTTATTGCTAAGACAGTGCAAAACTCAGAGACTACTACCCCCTTCAACTTCCACTAAATCCAAGAATTAACATTCTTGCCTAGGAAATAAACCTCCCTCCCTTCCTTTCCCACCTATTGTACTTGTTAGTCTGTCTTTTATCCCAGAAGGCAAGGTAATTAACACACCTCACAGAAATTAAGGCAGATGCCTGACCTTGTGCTGTACCAGTCTACCTTTCCTGTCTCAATAGCAAACCCTTGCTAATCTCCAAGGACTCCAATCTGGGCTTCCCTTCTCTTAAGGAGCCAAAGGCTTTTCTTAAAGTTGGGGTACATGGCAGGGTACCTGGAAAGAGATACAACATTCTATGCATATCTCTTTGAGGGGGCTAGAAGGCACAGGGCTGCCTGGGGTTGTAGGATACAAAACTTCCCCATGCAGTGAGCAGGACAGCCTGGGTCTGGGTGAGGAAGTAGGATTCTAAAGAGAGGAGGGAATATCGCAGAATCGCTCCAAGAGTTAACAAATACATGAAGTGTTTCATGATCCTCCATCAGTTTTTAAATATGTCTAATTAACTCATTTACCTAGAAAAATATAATTGTCCATGAACTTTTAATTCAAAGATGCTTTTGGCATCTGTTCATGTGCAGGGACCACTTGGGAGTGACATTTCCAGCAGGGGGCTTGGAGAGCCAGGCTGAGGCCAGGTCATTTTGGGCTGTTTGCAATCCTAAATGGGTCAGGGTGAGGCAGGCCAGTGAAGGGAGTAAAATTCTTCACCCTCTATAGGCCTGTGTTCCTCCCGTGCTCCTCGTTAGCACTCATCTGTAGCTTCGTTCAGTCCCCGGTCAGCCAACTGGGGAATTCCTGGCCCCTGTCACAGTTCTTAGGAGGTTCCAAGAGGCCTGGAGTCTGTGGGCACCCTCCTGACCAGCTCAGGTTGTGTCTCTAAGATGCTTTTTACATGGCCAGGCATGGTGGCTCACACCTGTAATCCCAGCGCTTTGGGAGGCCAAGTTGGACAGATCCCTAGGTCAGGAGTTCAAAACCAGCCTGGCCAACATGGTGAAATCCACCTCTACTAAAAATACAAAAATTAGCAGGGCATGGTGGTATGCGCCTGTAATCTCAGCTACTTGGGAGACTGAGGCAGGTGAATCACTTTAACCCGGGAGGCGGAGGTCACAGTGAGCCGAGACCACACCATTGCACTCCAGCCCAGGTGACAGAGCAAGATTCCATCTAAAAAAAAAAAAAAACTTTTTGCAAAGGACTTCTGGACCAGGCATGGTGGCTCACACCTATAATCCCAGCACTTTGGGAGGCCAAGGTGGGTGGATCACCTGAGGTTAAGAGTTCAAGACCAGCCTGGCCAATGTGGTGAAACCACAAAAATTAGTTGGGAGTGGTGGCAGATGCCTGTAATCCCAGCTACTAGGGAGGCTGAGGCAGGAGAATCACTTAAATTTGGGAGGCAGAGGTTACAGTGAGCTGAGATCATGCCACTGCACTCTTGACTGGGCGACAGAATGAGACCCTGAGACCCTGTTAAAAAAGAAAAAAAAGACTGCTGCTTGCAGTTTTCATTTTTATAGGCATTTTCCTGGCCTCTTGGGAGTACTGCGGTTTTTTTAAAAAACTGGGAAACCAAGTTTGTTAGTATCTATAGAAAAAAGAGGCCGGGTGTGGTGGCTCATACCTATAATCCCTGCATTTCGGGAGGCCAAGGCTGGCTGATTACCTGACGCCAAGGCAGGTCAGGAGTTTGAGGCCAGCCTGGCCAACATGGTGAAACCTCGTCTCTACTAAAAATAAAAATGTAAGCTGATGATAGGCGCCTATAATCTCAGCTACTCAGGAGCCTGAGGCAGGAGAATCACTTGAACCTGGGGGTTGAAAGTTGCAGAGAGCTGAGATTGCACCACTTCACTCCAGCCAGGGTGAAAGAATGAAACTGTGTCTTTAAAAAAAAAACTTCTAGGCCGGGCACGGTGGCTCAAGCCTGTAATCCCAGCACTTTGGGAGGCCGAGGCAGGTGGATCACGAGGTCAAGAGATCGAGACCATCCTGGTCAAAATGGTGAAACCCCGTCTCTACTAAAAATACAAAAAAAAATTAGCTGGGTGTGGTGTCGTGCACCTGCAGTCCCAGCTACCCAGGAGGCTGAGGCAGAATTGCTTGAACCTGGGAGGTGGAGGTTGCAGTGAGCCGAGATCGAGCCGCTGCACTCCAGCCTGGCGCCAGGCAACAGACCAAGACTCTGACTCAAAAAAAAAAAAAAAAAATTATATAAAAAAGAAATCAAACAAATTTATTGGGAATGTGGCTCTCTTTCTCAGAGTTTTCCCCTTTGTTCTATAAAAGCAAGTTATGAACTGAGTTGACAGCTCAGCAAGAAGAATGGTTTAATAAAGTCATAGAGCTGGTACTTCAGGGGCCCTGTGGGCTGTGTTGGGCCTGCCTAGGTGATGTATCTCTCTTCAATTATTTTCTTAGTTAATCATAAAATTTTTAATTGAGCAAACTTCTAGAGCAGTTGGATTTCCATGTACTTTGGGGCACCTGGATTTGCTGCCATTTATTCTAGAATTTTCGAAGGGCTAGACTCCTGGACATATCAGATTGCTCTCTTGTTTGGGATCAAATAAGCCCCAGCAGGATCCTTGGAATGAGGAAGGAGCCAGGACTTGGCAGAGCACACCAAGGTATTCACTGAAGAAAACTGGCCCCTCTGGGGGGGCTACATGGAGTCAGGGGTTGGCAATACAGTGCCCCAACAACCAGTGTGTCTTTTAAGTTCAGCCTCCCTATCCAATGTCCCTGTGTGTGGTCATTGTAAAGTCACGCCTTTCGTATCAGGAGGCGTAAGAAGTTGCCTTTCACCTAATAGAAGGGGAAACAGTTTGCTAAAAATAAGGCCATTATCTGCTGGAACTGTCACAGTAGGTCCTAATTAACTTGTCTCCTCTTGTTGCTTTCAAAATGATGTATTGTTCTAATTCAAAGTAAAGATTGTGGAGACAATTCTAAATTATTTTGTTCTTTTTGTGGGGGGTGAGAGGCGTTTGAGGAGGGGTCTCGCTCTGTTGCCCAGGCTGAAGTGCAGTGGCCCAATCTCAGCTCACTGCAGCCTGGACCTTCTGGGCTCAAGTGATTCTCCCACCTCGGCCTTCTAGGTAGCTGGGAGTACAGGTGTGCACCACCACACCTGGCTAACTTTTGTATTTTTAGTGGAGACAGGGTCTCTCTCTGTGTTGCCCAGGCTGTTCTCAAACTACTGGTCTCAAGGGATCTGCCTGCCTTGGCCTCTCACAGTGCTGGGATTACAGGTTTGAGCCACCGTGCTCGGCACTCAATTATTTTCTTCTTTTGCTGCCTAGGCTTCTTGAAAAAAGTTTTGAACTGAAAACACAAGACTATGAGAAGCAGATTCAGTCTTTGAAAGAAGAAATTAAAGCTCTTAATGATGAGAAGATGCAACTCCAACACCTGGTGGAGGAGGGGCGCATCACTTCTGATGGCTTGAAGGCGGAAGTGGCCCGCCTGAGCTCGCAGGCCAAGGTAGAGCTGCTCTTGCTTTCAGCCCTGCCCTTTGGTTAAGTGATTTGATTGCAATTCCAAGTTCCCACAGATCAGACAGCTAAAAGCATCTGAGTAAAGGCGACAGGCTAATGGAACCTAATTCCTTCGGTCCTTCCACCTGTGAAACTCCAGGCTGCCTTTGATTTAGCAATCATTGTATTCTGTATTTAAAAGTCAACTTTCTAACTTTTTTGAAATTACATTTATGTAAAATTATTTAAATATGTTAGGTAGAGACCACTTCCAAATTACACTGTCAATTGAGGTGAATCCTTATTATATAATCCATCACATCTATAAACACCTGCATTAAAGTTACCTTATCAAAATCTTCCATTTAAACTGTTATTAGAAAATTTACAAAAACAATTATCCATTGCACAGTGTGGTGAATGTAGTTAGTAAGAGTGTATTGTACATTTCAAAATCACTACGAGTAAATCCTAAATGTTCTCATAACAAAAAAATGACACGTATTTGAGGTTAATTAGGTTGATTTAATTATTCCACATTCAAAATTATAACATCAATAAAGCTATAAATTGTCAATTAATGGTAGAAATTTTTAAGTAAATTTTTATAAAGCTGAGAGGGAAAAATCACGTGGTAGAATTTTTAGAACTGCATAATCATACATAAAAATATTAGTTGTTACCTGTATTTACTATTAAAAATATATAAATATTCCTGGGCAATTTATAAAAAACTCTTGAGAAAAATGAATGAACGGATGAAGTAATGATCCATGCTTGGACAATCAAGGCTTAAGTGAATTGTTTCCCTACCAGAAAACTTAGTGTCCCTTTGTTCTTAAATGTGAGACATTTCTTCATTAAGTTGGGAAGTAGAAACTTTTAAGCTTCTACTAAATATGTGAAATACATATTAGTAGAGTATGTGTAGGAGTATGCAAATATTCTCTGTAATTGTCATGGATTAGCCATGTGTGGTTTAGAAGAACTTTTGGAAACGCATCTGGATGGCCGCTGAATTCCACAGCTGAGGTGTCTGTCTTCTCTGGGCCCTGTCCCCTGTTGTTTAAAAGTAGGAAGTCAGACCACATGATCAGGAAGGGCCACTTTCATTCCTGTGACTGCTTCACTCTTAGCAGCCACATGAGCCTGATGTCAGTCTGTGGGAGTCGTCTGGCTGAGGTCTGAGGTCTGTATCTTAAATGTAGAAAATTGTGAGGCTGTGCTTGCAGGGAGGGACCAGTAGGTGTCACTCACTTCCGCTTTCGTAGGTAAGAATGGGTTACTCTCCAATGTGATCTATTAAGATTATTCTGTCCTCTGAAATCTAGGTGGAGGCTTCCAAGCCTCAACTCTTGCAGTCTGCTCACCTGCAGGCTTAATAGTACAAGGAAGCCACCAATGGATAAAATATTAAAATTAAAAAAAAGATTATTCTGGGTTTTGTTTTTTGTTGAGACTGAGTTTTGCTTTTGTTGCCCAGGCTAGAGTGCAGTGGCACCGTCTTGGCTCACTGCAACCCCACATCCCAGGTTCAGGCGATTCTCCTTCAGCCTCCAAAGTAGCTGGGACTACAGGTACCCACCACCTAACCAGACTAATTTTTTTTTGCATTTTTGGTAGAGACAGGGTTTCACCATGTTGGTCTTGAATTCCTAACCTCAGGTGATCTGCCCACCTCAGCCTCCCAAAGTGCTGGGAATACAGGCATGAGCCACTGTGCCCGGCCCAGGCAAGTTAATTCTGTTGATACAACCCAGTAGATCTGGCATTTTGAGTAGTTAAGCATGCTTCAAAGCCAAGCTGTGTGAGCAGTAAGGACTTAACAAGATTTTAACTACAAAAGAAACTACAGTGAGGTCTTGCTTACTGAGTCTTGCATAGACACTGTACACTATAATAGTGTCCCCTTTGTGTTATATAAAGCATAATCGCTGTTTTTTCTTTACCTGATTCCATCATTGCCGTGATTCAGACAATCTCAGAGTTCGAAAAAGAGATAGAACTACTTCAGGCACAGAAGATAGACGTGGAGAAACATGTACAGTTACAAAAACGGGAAATGAGAGGTAATAAAAATATGAGTCTCTTAGACCATGGGTACGGGCTGAAAATCATAGCTGTGTCACTGCTAAGGAGATGTGTCGTTTGGTATGAATTTGGTTGGACATGGTAGATTGGTTAGTTGGTAGGTTGGATAGCTAGTTGGTTGAATAGCTAGAAGGTTGGTTAGTTGGTTGATTGGATAGCTGGTAGGTTATTTAGCTGGAGACTCTATGAAGCTAGAAAAGTGGTCCTGGAAAGGGAACGGGAAATGGTAGATCATCCACAATGTAATGTATACAACTCTGCCCTTTCCTTTCAGAAAAGATGTCAGAGATCACCAAACAACTTCTTGAAAGCTATGACATTGAAGATGTAAGAAGCAGGTAATGATTTCTGCATGATCAAACATTTTAAGACATGTAAAACATGAGAGGATGATAGAATTTCTTATCTTCCTTATTTTCCAGGCTCTCTGTGGAAGATTTGGAACATTTAAATGAGGATGGAGAACTCTGGTTTGCTTATGAAGGACTAAAGAAAGCAACACGGTTAGAAATTCTCCTCAAGGTTCTTCTTTATTTTTCAGAGATAATAAATAGACTATTAGAAAGTCCAAAGTTTACCTTACATAGATTGATACACAAATTCCTTATGGTAAAATGACCAAATAGCCACCAGAAATATTTCTCTGAGAATTAAGTAATTAGCTTATTCATGAAGAGCAGTCTCTTCACAGGATAAAATGCCTAGCAAAAAACCCCATAAGCCATACAATGAAAACTGATTTTCAAATAAGTTAGCTAATGTTGCCAGAGATATGCAGATACATTTAAATTTAAGGCATGTGCTGCATTTCGTTACATTAATAAACTATTTTTTACAGCAGTTTTAGGTTCGCATCAAAGTTGAGCAGAAATACAGAGTTCCCGTATACTCCTCTCACCACGTGCACACAACCTCCCCCGATATCAACTTCCCAAACCACACTGATGAACCAACACTGACACGTCACTGTCACCCAAAGTCTGTAGTTTACGTTAGGTTTCATTCTTGGCGTACATTCTGTCACCCAGGCTAGAGTGCAGTGGCACCATCTTGGCTCACTGCAACCCCACCTCCCACAGGTGTATATGACTCGTATCCCTAACTGTAGTATCATAAAGAACATGTTTTATTTTCTTTTGTGTTGTTTTGTTTTTGGGAAGGAATCTCACCCTGTCGCCAGGCTGGAGTGCAATGGTGTAATCTCGGCTCACTGCAACCTCTACCTCCCGGGTTCAAGTGATTATCTGCCTCAGCCTCTCCTTTAGCTGGAACTACAGGTGTGCCCTACCACACCCAGCTCATTTTAGTATTTTTAGTAGAGACCAGGTTTTGCCATGTTGTCTAGGCTGGTCTCAAGCTCCTGACCTCAAGTGATCCGCCTGCCTTAGCCTCCCAGAATGCTGGGATTACAGGTGTGAGCCACTGCACCTGGCCAATATTTTTAAAGCTATTAAGAGTGTAAAAATATAATAACTTCTAAAATTTTCTTCATTGTTAACTATGTGTCAACCCCCACATAATGCTTCCTAACTAGCTAGAAAGTTTTATAATTAGACATTCCTGATTCTGTAGCCTGTAAGTGTGAGTGCATAAGTAAACTTGATGTACCTGGTGCACCACCCTTGCTGTGGGTCTTCACAACTGCCAAACACCTGCACCCTCCTAGCCATCAGCACAGAACAAAGGCCATGCGGTTTATTTCTTGACCCCTCCTTTAATAGTGTTTTGGAGAGCCATTTTCAGTCTCAGAAGGATTGCTATGAAAAGGAGATTGAAGCTTTGAACTTCAAAGTGGTGCATCTAAGTCAAGAAATCAACCACCTGCAGAAGTTATTCAGAGAAGAAAATGACATCAATGAAAGCATCCGTCATGAAGTTACCAGGCTAACATCAGAGAACATGGTACGGTCTCAGCCGGGCCCCAGTCGTGGCCATCATACTAGAGATGTTCTTTGTCAGTGGAGTAAAATTCCGTTTCTTGACAGTGAAACAGTGGTTATAAATTACTTTTTCCAGAAGTGAAATAACTTGCTCTGGTGATCATACTGTAAAATGACTGCAGGCCAGACAGCACTCTGATACAAGAGTGTGTGTGTTCACCTCAGGATGGGTTCAGGTGCTCTGTGTGTGTGTGTGTGTGTGTGTGTGTGTGTGTGTGTGTGTGTGTTTAAGTGTGGTTTTTTTGTTTGTTTTTGAGATGGTGTCTCACTCTGTCGCCAGGCTGGAGTACAGTGGCTCGATCTTGGCTTACTGCAACCTCTGCCTCCAGGGCTCCGACGATTCTCCTGCCTCAGTCTCTCAAGTAGCTGGGACTACAGGCGCATGCCACTACGCCCAGCTAATTTATGTATTTTTTAGTAGAGATGGGGTTTCACCATCTTGGCCAGGATGGTCTCAATCTTTTGACCTCAGCCTGCCTTGTGATCCGCCCCCCTCAGTCTCCCAAAGTACTGGGATTACAGGCATAAGTCACTGTGCCCGGCCAGTGTGTATGTTTTAAAGTCTATATATTTAAATCCAGCCCTAACCCCTTGGAAAGTGGCCACAAAATTAAGGTGAAAGGGTAGCTGTTGAGACAGGAGTGTGTCAGAAGGCCAGTCCTGCTCATGCTTCAGATCTCACCTTTTCAAGTGTTTCTTCCTCTGTGATGAGCATTCCTACCCACTGCATTTGTCTCATTCTTTCTCCCAACTCATGCCTAATGGCATGGAGAAACGCTTCAGGAATCTCCTCACTCAGAAGCCATCTCTGTATTAACCCCACACCCATGTGGCCATCACTCGTTCCTTTGGGGAGTTAGTCAGACTTACAAAGACCCTGTAGGCATACTCCCTCCATGTACCTCCCATTCACTGTCCACCACTCCATTCTGTCATGTGCCCCACCGCTAGCTGACTCTGCCTACACAGAGCTGAGCACTCAGGATTCCTTTGCACCCGAGTCTTACTTAGTGTCTCAGGAGCCCCTGGTGATGCTAACCCCATCCTCTCCACCTTGTTCTCTTGGCTTCCAGGATGCCCGGCTCTGCCAGCTTTCTTGTCCGGCCTCACAGGCTGCTGCTCCTCTACTTCCTTACTACCCCTTCCGCTCCCTAAACTGGGAGTGTTAGGAAATCTCAGGGCTGTAGCAGCAGTTGAGGACCTGGGGTGGACACAGGAAATGGTCATTGGGGGTCCTTTACACCTTTGTTATTCCCTGGATGAAACTTGAAGGAGGAATTTGCAGTGAGACCTAATTGCACAATCAAACAAGTGCAGATACTCCTCAACTTATCATGGGGCTACGTCCCAGTGAACCTGTCGTATGTGGGAAGTGTTGTAAGATGAAAATGCACATAAAGCACCTAACCTACCAAGCATTGTAGCTTAGCCCAGCCTGCCTTAAACGTGCTCAGAATGCTTACATTAATTAGCCTGCAGTTGGGCAAAATCATCTAACACAAAACCTATTTTTATAATAAAGTGTTGAATATCTCATGTAATTTATGAAATACTGTGGTGAAAATGAAACACAGGATGGTTGAAGGGGTACTTGAAGTATGGTTTCTACTAAATGCATATCACTTTCACACCATCACAAACTCGAAAAATAGGAAGTTGAACCATTGTAAATCGGGGGCCATCTGTATTCTTCAGTTAGACTTCAGAGGTCTGGATCTCAGCCACTCAGTTTTATAAACTTCCCCAGTGTTTATAAACTTGGGAAAGGAAAAAAAAACTGGTTTTACATAACTGGGGGTGGAAGCAATGGACATGTAAAGAAATATATAGATAGACAGGGACAAAGGATTGAGAAATTTACTGGCTGATTCCAGACCTCCACTAACAGAGCAGTGCATGGCCTGGAGTTCAGGAGTTGCAGTGGGACCCTTCAAGATAGCTTTTCCTGTTCCTACATGAGATGATGGCTCCGGGCTTGGATCAGAGGCCGGCTGCCATTTCTTCACCTAATTCCTCCCTCAGTTCAGCATAGGATTTCTATACATGTACACATCCTTCTCTCCCTGACATAGCTGTGTGAGAACTGCTTTCTCCGAGCATACTGGTGTTTCCTGAGACTATAGGTTTTGAGGTTTAAAAAAAAAGGTCAATCCAGTCTAATGTCGTGGCTAGCTATTTTACACAACTATGTGTTCCACGGGCTGAACACCTAGACAGTTTATTTTGCTTCCAAGATTTTAAAGTTCACAGATCACAGTATTTAATATTTCTAATTCTCTCTAAAGATGATCCCAGACTTTAAACAGCAAATTTCAGAACTAGAGAAGCAGAAGCAAGATCTTGAAATCCGCCTGAATGAACAAGCTGAGAAAATGAAAGGTAACTCAAACCCTCATGAACCTGCTTTTAGAAAACAGTTTCTTCTACTCAGGAAATGGTATGGAAATGTCGCTGTACTCAGGGGTTTTAAACTCTGGTTCTCCAGGGGGCTGGGCAGGTAACAAATGTGAGAAGGGGGCTAGTTGAAAGATGTGGGAAGGTATGTGGGACATTTAAAGGAGATGCAGGCTGAGTGCTGTGGCTCACACCTATAATCCCAGCACTTTGGGAGGTGGAGACAGGTGGATCATCATTTAAGGCCAGGAGTTCAAGACCAGTCTGGGCAATATGTCAAAACCCCATCTCTGGCAAAAAAAAAATTTTTTGAGACTGAGTTTCGCTCGTCGCCCAGGCTGGAGTGCAATGGTATGATCTCAGCTCACTGCGACCTCCACCTCCTGAGTTCAAGTGACTCCTGCCTCAGCCTCCTAAATATATGGGATTACAGGCGCCCACCACCACGCCCATCTGATTTTTTTTTTTTTTTTTTTGTATTTTTAGTAGGGATGGGTTTTTACCATGTTGGCCAGATTAGTCTCAAACTCCTGGTGTCAGATGAGCTGCCCACCTCAGCCTCCCAAAGTGCTGGGATTACAGGCATGAGCTACCATACTGGGCCCAAAAATTGTTGTTAAATTAGCTAGGCATGGCAGTGTGCACCTGTGTTCCCAGCTACATGGGAGACTGAAGTGGGAAGATCGCTGGAGCCCGGGAGGTGAAGGCTGAAGTGAGCCATGATTGTGCCACTGCACTCCAGCCTGGGTGACAGAGTGAGACCCTGTCTCTGAAAAAAACAATAAAGTAAAGAGGTTGCTGCCTCTGAGCTCCACTGATTATTGCCCATGGGGAATGTGGGCCCAGTATTGCTAGAGATTCCTATGTTTAAAGAAAACCCAGGAAACCAGAATTTTATGTGAAATATTACAATTTTTAATTGATGGTTTAAAAATGTTTAAACATTGTTCAGACCAAATAAAACTTAATCTCTGCCTGGATACAGTTTAAGACAAGCTTGTTCAAGCCACAGTCCGTGGGCCACAGCAGCCCGGGACAACTTTCAAGGAGAGCCAACACAAATTCGTAAACTTTCTTAAAATACGAGTTTTTTTGGCGATTTTTTTTTTTTTTTTTTTTTTGAGATGGAGTCTCACTCTGTTACCCAGACTGGAGTGCAGTGGCACGATCTTGGCTCACTGCAACCTCCGACTCCCTGGTTGAAGCGATTCTCCTGCCTCAGCCTCCCAGGTAACTGGGATTATAGGCATGCACCACCACAGCCAGCTAATTTTTGCATTTTTAGTAGAGACGGGGTTTCACAATGTTGGCCAGGGTAGTCTTGATCTCTTGACCTCGTGATCTGCCTGCCTTGGCCTCCCAAAGTGCTGGGATTACAGGTGTGAGCCACTGTGCCTAGCAGCCAATTTTTTTTTAAAGCTCATCAGCTATCGTTAGTGTATTTTAAGTGTGGCCCAGACAATTCTTCTTCCAGTGTGGGCCAGAGAAGCCAAAAGATCAGATGCCCATGGTTTAGGACCTCTAAAAATTGTAAATAATGCCAAACCGAAATCAGAATGCAGTGATATGTCCCCCCTCAAAGTATTGACAGTTCTTCTCATTATAGGAAAACTAGAAGAATTGTCTAATCAGTTAAATCGCAGTCAAGAGGAGGAAGGAACACAAAGAAAGTAAGTGTAAATGTGTACCTCAAGTTCATGCTCATGTATTCCTTTATGAAACTGTAGAATATACCAAGATGCGTTACTAATCCCAAAAAGCAAGATGCTAATTAATATGTGTGATATATTGCCATTCAGATGGGAAGGAAAGAAACGTATGTGTGCACATCACATTCAGCAGCAGCAGCAGCAGCAGTAGTAGCATCTCTGGGAGATTGGTGAAGGAACAAAACATTGGTTGGCTCCAGGGAAGATAATGTGGTGACTGATGCACAGAGGAGGGGAGGACATGTACTTCTCACTGTTTATGTACACTCTGTACCCTTGAAATGCCATCACATGCACTTGAATTGTCTGTTTAAACAACAGATAAGAGTGTGTAAGAGAGAATGGTTTCTATTAGCAGACTATTTAGGGTAAGAATTAAAAACCCATGTTGATGGAAAAATCTTCATTGCTAATCCCTGCAAATTTCAATCCTGAGCAACAACATGTCTCATGCCCTGGCAGAGCCTGTGGGGAGAATGTTTTGTTTTGTTGCCAACTTATTGAGACATTTAGTTTTCCAGAACAATAAATGGATACTTGACATCCCTAAGAGCATCTTTAGTCATATGACTTCATCAGTAGGATGAGGATGAGGACCCAAAGTAATGGAAAAGGAGTGAGGCACCATTTTAGAACTCTTCTCATGGTATCCCTCCTCTCTTCTATCTAATCCCTGGCTTTGTAAATATCTGGTCCCCAGGCTGATCACAAAGGGTGTTGTGGGTGTGGCTGTCCCATGGGTGGGACACAATACTCACTCACAACAGTAAGTGAGTGGGGCTGGGGATGGGTGGAGAATGGAATCTCTTATTGGGTGAAGGAGACTAGAGCAGTCCATGGACAGTTTTATATCCCAGCCAGTCCTGGTCTCTTTTCCTTCCCCTGGAAGTACACCCGTATTCTAATACTATTTGCTTTACACATACATTGTCCAAGGTGTTCTTCCATCTTTGGAAATATCAGCACTTGCTATGACAGTGAGTGACTTCTCCTTGGTGGTCATACTGATACCAGCCATTCCTCCCTCCCTTTCCCAGGGCCATAGAAGCCCAAAATGAAATACATACCAAAGAGAAGGAGAAACTGATTGATAAGATTCAAGCAATGCAGGAGGCCAGCGAGCACTTGAAGAAACAATTTGAAACTGAAAGTGAAGTCAAGAGTAACTTCCGGCAGGAAGCATCTCGGCTCACTTTGGAAAACAGGGTGAGAAAGAAGTCTTCTAACTTGGTTATAAAGACTGTCTGTGTTTTGATGTTGCTAAAGCGGGGACGTGCCACCTAAAATGTCCAATTAACAGCTATTGACCAAAAGTCCTCTTATCAGAGCAGTCTGTTTTCTTCTCCTAAAAGACAGGTGGTCTCTGGGGTTGGCTTTCGGGACTTATGGGACTCAAGGACTCCCAGGCCAGCCTGGGGAGGGTGAAGGAGGAGAAACAGTGAGGTACAGGCTGTGGGTCCCCAGTATTATCAGTGGATGGCACCATCCAGGGTGGAATCACTGTGGATCACACCAAGGCTAACAAGGCCTACGCCTGAGCACTTTGCCCAGCAAAACTCACCCCATAGAAATGCCCATGCTTGCTTCTGGGGGTATGGCCTTCCTACAATTTTTAGAGTCAGAATGTTCTATGAAATGATCATGATGTTGATGGAAGTCTTAAAAACTTTTCAAAAGTCTTTAAAGTCTTTTCCAAGTTTTAAATGCCATTACCAAAATGAAATTTGGCAACCCTACATCAGTCCCCAGCAATTATTTTGAAATTGTGATGTTGTGTGGTACCCAGAAGACTGGGGAGTGCTGAGATGACAGGCCACTTACCTGGGAGCTGGGACCCTCTCAGTCCCCTTCAAGACCTGAGAGCTTCCAAGAGGGTGACCCCGGAGGGCTGACAAGTCCAGTGGTGAGTGTGGAGATGCCCACCTGCCCTTCTCTCCGGTGACAGGGCCCTATTTCTGATCTCACAGGAAAACCGTGATAGAGGAAAAGCACATTTTGAGTGTCAGCATTTAACTTTAAAGAGTGGTTACATCCAAAAAGAGAAATTCCGGGAGTTTAACATTTATTAGGAAGTGACAAATTCAATCAGTGGCATGTATATGATGGCTGCCTTTTTTGAGGTGGATACAACTTTCTCAGAGACTGGAATCCTCACATCACACCAGAGAAGCAGCCACCTGCTGTCTGTGTGTGCGAGGCTGCCTTGCCTTCCTTGTGTGGGCCCATGGGGTCTCGGTGGAGCCAGCGGTCAGGGAGAAGCTATGTGGGTGGGTCATGTGTGTGCTGCACGGTCCCTTTATACTGACGGTCCCTGTGCATCGTGATGGATTTATGAGTTTGTTCCTGGTGCCCCAGAGCGCAGCCTGGTCCTGGTCTGCATCTTCCTCTGGAGCTCCCCAGAGTGTCTGGCTCTGCTCCCCACAGGTGCGCTGAGCTGGGGAGCCGACAGGCCTAACATGCTCATTTCAATAGCGCTTACTGAACCGGAGTAGTCTCACTGTTACAGATAAGCAGAGAGACAAGCAGCAAGAGTATCATCTCTATACATTAGCCGTGGAGTCTACCCACGGATGAGACCTGATCTATATTAGTTTGCCAGGGCTGCCGTAATAATTGCCCATAAACCAGGTGCCTTAAAACAACAGAAATGTGTTCTCTCAGTTATAGAAGTCAGAAGGCTAAAGTCAAGGTGTCAGCAGGGCACACTCCTCCGAAGTCTCTAAGGAAAACCCTTCCTTGCCTCTTGCAGCTTCTAGAAGACTCCAGGCATTCCTTGGTTTGGGGCAGTGTAACTCCAGCCTGTGTCTCTCTGCACCTGGCCTTCTCTCTGTCTCTGTATACTTTTCTGTTTATTATAAGGACACCTGCATTCGATTTACAGCCCACCCTAAATTGTAGTAGCCACCTCTCATATTGACCCTTAGCTTACCACAACTACAAAGACCCTATTTCCATATAAAATCACATTCTGGAGTTTGGGTTGGGCATGAATTTCAAGTTGACACTATTCAAGCCACTATGTGATGCTTTGAATTAAAGAATGTTCTTTTTTTTCCCCAGACTCTTTTGTCACTGAAAAGAAGATTGTTATTAAGAGATTTAAAAAAGCTTTTAGTAATCATTTCACTGTTTATCAAAGACATTCAAAATTAAAACTAGGTATTATTTTTACCCATCAAATTAACAGAGACCTGGGCCTGGCACAGTGGCTCACAACCATAATCCCAGCACTTTAAGATGTCATGGCAGAAGTATGACTGGAGGCCAGGAGTTCAACCAGCCATGGCAATGTAGCAAGACCCCATTTCTACAAGGAAAACTTTTTTTTTTAATTAGCCAGGTGTAGTGGTGCCTGCCTATAGTTCTAGCTACTCAGGAGGCTGAGGCAAAAGGACTGCTTGAGCCCAGGAGGTTGAGGCTGCAGTGAACTATGATCACACTGCTGTACTCCAGCCTGGTGGCAGAGCAAAACCCTGTCTCTAAAAATACTACTACTAATAATAACAATAAATAGAGGAGATGTTCTGCTGGAGAGAACATCTTGAAATGGGCACTGTCATGCATGGTTGCTGGAAACAAATTGGTGTAAACTTTCTTTAGGGCTTATTTGAAAGCATGAATCATGAACCGTTGGAAAGTACATTCTGTTTGACTCAGACACAACTTGTAAGGTTCTATCTTAAGTAAATACTTGGATATGTGGACCAAGATTTTTGTTCAGGGTGATCATTATAGTGTTATTAATCATAGAGGGGGGAAAAAAAAGCAACCCAAAAGAAACAAATGGAGATCCACCAATAGAGCAAAGGTTAAACTGCTGTATGCTCTAGTATGATTTGGCTGCTAAAATGATGGTTTGGGTATATTATCAATGACATGGCAAGCACTCATTTCTTTCACTTAGCATAAGGTTTTCAAAGTTCATCCATGCTGTAGCATGTATCAGTATTTTATTCTTATGGCTGAATAACATCCTATTGGATGTATAGACTACAGTTACCCATACATACAGTGTAAGAAATGAGTGCTTGCCAAGTCATTATCAAAAACATGTGCAATGTAACTAGAGAAAATGTAGGATTTAAAATTTTGCATGTATGATCCCAGTTTTATAAAATGTACATTTACCATATTGGGAAAAAAGGAATGCAATCAAAATATGAACAGTGGTTTTTTTCCTAGGTTATGGGTTGATAGGTGACCCATTTTATTAGATATAAGATGGACTTGAATTGGAGGAAAGAAGCTGAACTGACTCCTCCAATTCTAAGGTCAACAAAGTTTCTAACATGTGTAGCCAGAGACACAGAATGGTGGCAGGGAGAGAGGTGGCCACACAGAGTAGAAACTGCACAATGTCCCTTGGCCACGAGAGTCCCTAGAGGGCACACATGCAGTGGCCATGCTTGGTGGATCTTGCTGGGTCAGAGAAGCCTAGATTCTTTGTGTGTCAAATGCTCAGATCTGGAAGAACCTAAACACTATATGTCCCTTATAGGAAATATTCCTAGGTATTCGAGGACTCTCCTGGTTCTTGAGCCACATTCAGCATAGGCAAGGCCACCTCCTTATCAGGAAGGAAAGGCAAAACCATGCCCAAATCTCTGAACGTTTCTGTGGCTCCAGCCTCTGACATTTAGAAAGCCCATTTTCCCATACACGTATTTTAAAATTCTCTACGATGGGCATTCCTTTGTAATAAGAGCAAGATAAATGTAGTCAATCCATACAATAGGATATTATTCAGCAATAAGAATATATGAAATACTGATACATGCTACAGCATGGATGAACTTTGAAAACCTTATGCTAAGTGAAAGAAGCCAGACACGAAAGACCACTTATTCTATGATTTTATTTGTATGCAATGTCCAGAATAGGCAAAGCCACAGAGACAGAAAGTAGATGAGTGATTGCCAGGTGCTTGAAGGGAATGAGGAACTAGAGAGTAACACTAAAGGTTAGTTTTCTTTTTGGAGTAACAAAATATTCCAGAATTAAATAATGGTGATTGTAGCACAACTCTGACCACACTGAAAACCCTTTGAGTGTACACATACAATATGATATGTGAATTGTAGCTCAATAAAGCTGTTACCAAAAAAAAATAGATTAAAATGCTTCTAAGCTAAATCCTGGTTTCTTTTTATTGCTGCAGGATCTTGAAGAAGAATTAGACATGAAAGACAGAGTGATTAAAAAGCTACAAGATCAAGTTAAGATGCTAAGCAAGACAGTTGGAAAAGGTAAAAAATAATACTCGCTTTCTTATTCTTTTGAGCTAAGGCTAACATGCAATCAAGTGTTTATTTTCTATCTGGTCCAAAGCTTATGAAACCCAAAGGAATGATTCTCAAATGGTGAGGTTTGGGGCCTAGTGCTGGGCTAACAAAAAGATCCTTTGGGACAAGAAGACAGTTCTCTCCCCTCAGATGATACCAGATACGCTCATGTACTTACAAGGGACATCCTATAAGTAATACATTAACCTCTTCCTGTTAGCTCTCTATTATAAAAAGTAAAATTGTGAAAAAGTTTTCAATTAACTGCTTTGAAATTCACCTTCTCTCCCTGTTACATATGTAGGATCAATAATATCCAAATTTCTATTAGAAAAGTAGAGAACTGGCCTGGTGCAGTGGCTGACGGCTATAATCCCAGCACTTTGGGAGGCCTAGGTGGATGGATCACCTGAGGTTGGGGGTTTGAGAGCAGCCTGATCAACATGGAGAAACCACAACTCTACTAAAAATACAAAATTAGCTGGGCATAGTGGCACATGCTTGTAATCCCAGCTACTTGGGAGGCTGAGGTAGAAGAATCACTTGAACCTAAGAGGTGGAGGTTTTTTGTTTTTTGTTTCAAAAAAAAAAAAGGAAGAAAAGTAGAGAACTTGGCTGGGTGTGGTGGCTCATGCCTGTAATCCCAGCACTTTGGGAAGCTGAGGCAGGCAGATCACGAAGTTAGGAGTTCGAGACCAGCCTGGCCAACATGATGAAACCCCATCTATACTAAAGATACAAAAAATTATCCAGGCATGGTGGTAGATGCCTGTAATCCTAGCTACTCAGGAGGCTGAGGCAGGAGAATCACTTGAACCTGGGAGGTGGAGGTTGCAGTCAGCCGAGATCATGCCATTGCACTCCAGCCTGGGCAACAGGGTGAGACTCCATCTCAAAAAAAAAAGAAAAGTAGAGAACTAATAAGCAGACATCCTGAATGTGGACTGCACGGCATACATGAAGCATCCTCATGAGCCTCTGTGAAAGGGACCCGTAGCCTCTCTTCCCTTCTGGTTCTGTCACTGAACTTTGCCAGTGTTCTGCTCCTGCTCACATTTTTCACTCTTGCATTCTTGATTACTTTTTCCTCTTCCTCCCAGCCTTATTGCCAAGGCCATATCTTGTCTGTTCCTTTTTCTATATTCATCTCTTTGAAGAGCTACTTTATTCTTACTTATCCACCTCTCACCTCAAATTTGAAATGTTCACAAGCAAAGTGAGGATCTTTCTCATTCAGTAATAAATGACGAATGGCAGTCCAGTCCACCCCATGAGAGCAGGGCCCAGCTCTGTGCTTCTCAGCCCCCACTGCATCCTAACTGTTGGGATGAATGAATGGAACACCATTCACCACTTTGGCTTAGCTTTCAGATGTCTGACCTCCAGAGCTGTACGATTAAACATCTGTGTTGTTTGTTTTAAGCCACTGTGTTTGTAGTAACGTTTTATAGCAGCCATAGGAAACTAATACAGCCCTCTCAGTCAGGATCGTGCACATTGGTACTTTGCACACCAAATGTTTCATGAGTCTCCTTTCACAGTTGTATCAGCATCTTGAAGACAAGGCAACATCTTGGATTTCTTTCCTGTTACCGTGTGCTGGATACATATCAGGCACTCATGGGCCTTTTCAGCTGCAGCTGTACTCACTGATGTACTCACAAAGAGGAATCGCTGCTTGGAGAAAATTTTCAGGATACAATACAGTTTTAATGTATCTGAAAGCCACAGACATTTATGTGCAAACTAGCCAGAATGGTGTAGGAGAGTAGTCGCATTATGCACCTTGAAAGCTGCTTTTGTGTATTTAGCTGATTGTTTACCTCTGTCTACAGCCAATGATGTGTACTCATCCTCAGGACCCAAGGAGTACCTAGGAATGCTGCAATACAAGAGAGAAGACGAGGTCAAGCTCATTCAGAACCTCATTCTTGGTAGTGAAACCTGGAACTCTGGATTTTTGCTTTCTCTTTGGGAACTTGCACATCAGTCAGTGCCAAAGTCCTGGGCAGGGGTGGTCCTTTCTCTGCTTTCTTCTTCCACTGCTTCTTCCCCCAGCCCAGAGTTTCTCAACCTCAGCACTGTTGGCTGTGAGTACGGAGTAACAAAGGACGGAGCAGCATCCTTGACTTATCACTAGAAACCAGCAGCAACCCTGAGTCATGACAATAAAGAAGTCTCCAGGACAATAAAGATTGCCCAGTGTCCTGTGGGGGCCAAAACTGTCCTCAGTTGAGAAGCATTGCACTGACCTTTCCCAAAGTCTAATTGTAGGACCGGGTAGAAAAGAGCCATCACCACATTCTTGTGTCTCAGCACAGGAGCCATCATGGAAGTAACTGTGGCTGTGTGTGTGCTCTGTTTGACTTCTGAGAAGTTTCTCTGCAGGCAGTGTGATGGGGCTTCCCAGCCATGCGTCAGTTACAGGAATGTCCCATGTGCATACTCAAGAGTTGGTGGCCGTAGAACCAATCTTACTGCACTGTCTTCACTGTGACCTTCCACATGGTTTTCTAGAATAGGGAAAAAATCTGCCTCCCTCTCAGCTGGTCCCAAGATCTCAAAGCAGAAAGCCAACGTGTAGCCCTCCTTCTTCTTCCCCAAATGATCCCCTCAGCTCATGTGAGCACCCCTACCCTTTTCTTTCCCTCTCTTTCACTGATGTAATGCAGTGGAAGCCTCTTTGTTCCTCTGTTTTCATGCAGCCAGGGGGACATCCTTGTTTGCTTATCTTAATTTTTCTATAAGATTTCTCTTTCCCCTTCATCCCCAGAGAATGGCGTCTCTGCCATTTTCTTCTCCCCAAGGCCAGCTAGACATCCTCTGCAGCACTGGCATGTGCCTGCTTTCCCTATTCAAGGCAGCTTCATGTGATTGTGGACACTGTACCCCATCCTCATCAAAGAGCTTGTAGTAGGGGTGCATGGAACTGGAGTTCCTTTCTTATAATGGGGGTCTGAAATCCAGGGTTTCCACAGCAGGGAAAAATAAAGATTCTGTCCCTTATTCACCCTTTTAAGAAAGAGAAAGTTCTTTGTAAACAAGAAGAGGAACAAGTGTCACCTGTGTATTTTGTGCCAAGAAAGCCAGATGAAATTCCTCAAAGAGGAAAGAAATCCATTTGCATTCAGGCACTGCATCAAGTACATAAAAGCAAACAAGCCCCTACCCCTAGTCAGAGGTTCCTTAGGAGAAGAGCTGACCTGTCAGCCGTAATCCTCGTTGACTCTCTCTGCTCCAGACTTGAAGCCCCGTGGTGTGGTGGTGAACATGATCCCCGGGCTCCCGGCTCACATCCTGTTCATGTGTGTACGCTACGCAGACTCTCTAAATGATGCCAACATGCTGAAGTCCCTCATGAACAGCACCATTAATGGCATCAAGCAGGTGGTTAAGGTAGGGAATGCCTTTGACATTGGCTCTCAGTATCACATCTACTTTAGGAACACCTATGGGAATGACCAGATGCCAGTGTTTGCCCATCCTGAGCCTCCAGTGTATGGTGAGCCACATGATTCCACAAACAAGTTTGAGGCCCGACTAGTGAAGGGAGCCACACTGCTAGGGAAAGATAAATGGGTGAGCATCTGCCATAACCCTCAAAGCCTTACCGGCGAGACTACGACCTGCTAGCCACTGCCCCCACCCTGCTATTCCCTTAGGGTGTGAAGTTATCAGCTGTGCAGGGTATATGTTTTATCTATGTAACAAGGGTAAATCATGAGAAATAGAAAGGAGTGAAAAAGTAGTCATCTCTTCCCTTGGCAATTATATAATTCTTTGTAAAAGCACATTGTGTATTTTTATTCCCAGTCCACAAATGAAGATGAATTAGTTAGGTTAGTTACTTAGTAAAGGTCAGCTGTTGTAACTATAAGACACCTACCACCTCCCTTTGCCAAATATACAGTGTCTTAAAAAAGATGGTGGATTTATTTTTGCTCATAGCAGTTCCATAATGAGCCATCTAGGTTGGAAGGTGGCTCCGTTCTACGTGATGATACAGGGACCCAGGTTCCTTCCAGCTTGCCATTGGCCATTCCCTAAGTCAGTGTCCTTACTGGAATGATTGGACAAGCAGCCAGCCAGCCAGTAGTTTACCACTGGGCAAGAGGGGACACAGACCATGTGTGTATGGAACACACGTCAAAAGTCACCAACTGAGCTCTTTATGAGCAGTCACCTCTTATGGTGTGACAAGTGGACAACGATCAAAATTGACAATGACAAAGAGTGGGATTTTGTGAAGGCTAACTTAACAGTAACAAAGTTTATTGTCCAACTGTAGCATAATCCTAAAATCGTTCTTAGCTTACTGATTGTTTTTCCTGGAAACTCCAAAAGTTACCAATGAGTAAATAACTGTATCTAAGCCTTGAAGATTTTTTTTTTTTTTTTTGAGACGGAGTTTCGCTTTTCTAACTGTAGCATAATCCTAAAATCGTTCTTGTTTTTCCTGGAAACTCCAAAAGTTACCAATGAGTAAATAACTGTATCTAAGCCTTGAAGATTTTTTTTTTTTTTTTTTTTTAGAGGGAGTTTCGCTCTTTTTACCCAGGCTGGAGTGCAATGGTGTGATCTTGGCTCACTGCAACCTCCGCCTCCTGGGTTCAGGCAATTCTCCTGCCTCAGCTTCCTGAGTAGCTGGGATTACAGGCACGTGCTACCATGCCCACCTAATTTTTTTAGTAGAGACGGGGTTTCACCATGTTGACCAGGTTGGTCTCAATCTCTTGACCTCGTGATCCACCCGCCTCGGCCTCCCAAAGTGCTGGGATTACAGGCTTGAGCCACTGCACCCGGCCCAAAGATTTTTTTAAACAGACCTGGATCCTTGCTTACAGGGATAGTTGCTTTGTAAAAAGAGCTCTCTGCTAATGCTTGGCTTATTCTGGAATCTTGGGAAGGTGAGCCGCCAGAGCATGGGTAGGGTGTTGACTCAGTACAGAGCCAGACCTGGTGCTATCCTGAGTGTGGAAATTCCATTAGCCACAGTGGAGTTAGTACAAAAACCTTTCTCTTTCTAGGAAATGACCAGTTTACAGTTATGTTTAAAAGTACCCATGTCTGGAGGTGGAGGTTGCAGTGAGCTGAGATCGTACCACCGCACTTCAGCCTAGATGACAGACCTAGACTCCGTCACAAAAAAGGAAAAAAAGTACCCGTTTCTGGGAATTATAATGTACTGATCCATTTTGGAAGGGGGCAATAAGACATAGATCCAGTGTTTTTCATGTACCTCCAAAAGAGAAGTGATGTTCCATATTAGGATATATTTGAATTTTTAGTTAGGGGAGAGCCTTCCTTATTTTTAGTAAAATATATATTCTAAGGAGTAATGAGGAATTAAATTCTATTTTAAATACTCTAGGGAAGGCCAGGTGTGGTGGCTCACACCTGTAATCCCAGCACTTGGGGAGGCTGAGGCGGACAGATCCCTTGAGCTCACAAGTTCAAGACCACCAGCCTGGGCAACGTGGTGAAACTTCATCACTACAAGAAATACAAAAATTTTCCAGGTGTGGTGGTGTGCACCTGTAATCCCAGCTACTCAGGAAGCTAAGGTGGGAAGATCACTTGAGCCTGGAAGGCAGAGTTTGCAGTAAGCCAAGATCACACCACTGCACTCGAGCCTGGGCGATAGGGCCAGACCTTGTCTCAAAAATAAATAAATAAATGAACAAATTCTCGGAAGAAAGAAACATAAAAACTAGATTTATGAGAGGTCAGAGTATGGTAATTCTCCTCTCCTTCCAGAAATATCAAGAATTCATTATTTATCTGGAGTTAGGAATAGAAAATTCACATTTGTTTGGTGCTGGATACTTCGTAGTCACTGTTTTCACAGGAGCCACCGGTGTTTTTGGAAGGGCTCCCATAAATTGATGTTTTCCCTGTCCATATTTGCATAAATTGGGTCTTAAGATAAGCTGGCATTATTATTACTGTGTTCCAGCCCAGGACACACAGTATTTGTCTCCCCTTGCTGCTCTGGGGTATTCAGCTAAATATTCATAAACCAAGAGATGGATGGCCTGAGGACTATAAAACCCCTTTCTTACCAGCACCATCAGTCTCAACTTCTCCGTGGCCCCCTCCCTCTGCCTTTGCCTGTGCCCAGGACCTGCCTTTCCCACCTCCAGCACACAGCAGTTACAGCAATGTGCCCACATACCCTCTTCAGCCACTGTTCCCTACCCTCCACCCAGACTGCCAAAGTGCTTAAACCAGTGGTCTCCACCAATTCTCTTTGTCACTCCTTGTAATCTGCCTTCAAACCCATCACTCTACAGAGAGATCACCAGTAATTCCTCTTGCTAAAACCAGTTGTGTTTCTTTACTTTTTATTCTCTTTAAACTGGCCAAAGCATTAGCACCATCCCTTGAAAGCTTCCTCCCTTGTCTTTTAAATCCCAGGATCTTCCCTGTTTTCCTCTTCCCCATCTGATCACTGTATACCTCTGCCTTCTCTGGTTGTTCCCCTTCTTCCTCCCCTGTAAATGGAGGCCTTCTCCGCGACAGTCCTAGTCCTGAGCTCTTGTCTCTCCCCCCGTTTCCCTCAAGGGCTAGACCTCCTGCCTCTCTGAGGTCTCCTTGGCTGCCCCACCTCCCCATCCTCTCTCTCTGTCCTCTGAGCTTTGGTGGCACAGTCTACAACCATCGTGTGGGCATTTGACCACATTCTGAACTCTATCTATCTTCCCAGTGACAGTGTGAACTCCAGGGAGAAAGAAGTGAAACTTACACTTCTCTTGCATTCCTTCAGGGCCCGCTTCACACTTCGTAATGAGTGACACAAAATGTACAGAAACGTTACAAACTGTGACCTGCTAAATAAATAAAAGCTGTTATCATTTAAGAGTATGAATTTGACAAAGGCTTTAGTGAATAAAAGAAAGATTAATTTTGGTCAAAAGCTACAAATAACCAAACAGGTAAGATGCTCAGGGGCACAAGTTATCATCAAGTCCAATTTTGTCTTTTCTTATTTTTCTAAGGAACATTTAGAAGACTTTGAGATGCTGTCTTTTTGGCTTTCCAACACTTGTCATTTCCTCAATTGCCTGAAGCAGTACAGCGGAGAAGAGGTAGGGGGCGCCTGCCTGCTTGCTGTTTTGTGCTGACCGTCCCTAAACCTCCTGAGCCTCTATTATTTTCACCCAGGAAGCCAACAGCACATTATCGGTTGGATTCTTGGGTGTACACCACAGGGAAGAGACTTCTGGAAGCAGCTTAGATATTGGGCTCTGTACTAGGCTTCCTAGGTTTCCATTACTTTTAAATCAATAGGTAGATAAGATGCATTTTAAGTTTCCTTCTGGTTGTAAGACTTTTAACATTATGACTCTAAAATACAGCCTCTGGTTTCAAATGCCTGTTTCTTCACAGTTGTTCTCTCTACAGGACTCTGACTGTTCCTCTGTAATTATAAATTTGTTTCCTTTGCCATTCCAACTCTGCTTCCAGGAGGCTGATGTCATAAAAGAGGTCTCCACCTTCAAATACTCTTGGAGAAAAATTTCATTGAACTAAAATAGCAAAGTGGCTTTAGTTTTCAGTGCTCTCCAAAACGGCCATACCATTTCATAGTCCCACTGAGAGTGTTTGATGTTTCCATTGTCTCATACCTTCACCAGCACTTGGTATTGACCAACATTTTTATTATTTACCAGTGTCATGGGTATAAAATTATATCTTAGTGACTTAAATTACATTTGTCTGGTCTCTAAAAAAGTCAAGCATGATTTTATATGTTTATTGGTCATTTGAGTTTCCTTTTGAATTGCTTAGTTACATCCTTTCTTTTTCTTTGGGTTGTTTTTTGTTGTTATTGATTTGTCGGAGGTCTTTATATAATATGCAGAGACTGTAGTTTAGCTTCTAATTTTCTTTATGAAGTCCCTTGTCAGACAGTTTTTGAATTTTGATATGCTTAAATCTGTCAATCCTGTTCATTTATGATGTGTATCTTGTTAAGAAATTCTTCTCTGCCCTGAGATCATGAAGATACTCTCTATATAAACTTCTGTAGTTCAAATTTAGAGTTCACAATTAATTATGTTTTGACCTATCCAAAAGCTGTCGCCCAGGCTGGAGTGCACTGGCACGATCTCAGCTCACTGCAACCTTTGCCTCCCGGGTTCAAGCAATTCTCCTGCCTCAGCCTCCTGAGGTGCTTGGGTTACAGGCATGCACCACCACACCTGGCTAATAGAGACAGGGTTTCACCATGTTGGCCAGGCTGGTCTCGAACTCCTGATCTCAAACAGCCTGCCTCAGCCTCCCAAAGTGCTGGGATTACAGGCGTGAGCGACCACACCCAGCCTTATAATGTCCTATTCTTAATGTTTTCTTTTTCTTTAGTCTCTTTGAACATGTTAAACATATTCCATTAGTTCACTCAGGCTACTATAACAAAATACCACAGGCTGAGTGGCTTGAACAACAGATTGATTTCCTCACAGTTCTGGAGGCTAAACATCTGATATCAGAGTGCCAGCATGGTCACTTCCTGGTGAGGGCTTTCTTCCTAGCTTGCTGACAACCACCTTCTCCATCCCTGTGTCCTCACAGGAACTTTCCTGGGTGCCTGGGTCAGGGAGAGGGAAAGAGAGAGAGAGGGCAAGCTCTATCTGGTATCTTTTTTTTTTTTTTTTTTTTTTTGAGACAGTCTTGCTCTGTCACCCAGGCTGGAGTGCAGTGGCGCAATCTTGGCTTACTGCAACCTCCAAGTGATTCTCCTGCCTCACCTCCCGAGTAGCTGGGACTACAGGCATGTGCCATCATGCCCAGCTAATTTTTGTATTTTTAGTAGAGACAGGGTTTCACCGTGTTGGCCAAGATGGTCTTGATCTCTTGACCTCATGATCACCTCAGCCTCCCAAAATGCTGGGATTACAGGCGTGAGCCACCATGCCCAGCTGGTGGCTGGTGTCTCTTCTTATAAGGACACCAATGTTATTATTAGATCACAGACTTAATCGTTATGACCTCATTTAATTTTCATTACCTCCCTAAAGGTCCCATCTCCAAATACAGCCATGCTAGGGGGTTAGGGCTTCAACATACGATTTTTAGGAGGACACAAACATTCAGTCCTTAACACAGACTTTAAAATATTTCAACTTTGTCGGTACCCTGTAATTACAAGGTTATGAATCTCATTTATTGTATCTTCCTTTTAATAGCAGTTTGTTTCCTGGGATGCTCTGCAGCTTTGTATTGTTGTGTTTTCCTATGTGCTTCCATGGGCATTCTACGAGTTTTTCCACTTAATCTATAGCCTCCGGAGGCAATGTTTGTAGGGAAGTGGGTGGGACAGTGACACTATGACAGACTGGGATCATATAGGAAATCAGTGCAATTTTTTCTTATAGAAGGTACATGCTACCCCAAGCATCACAAACTCATTTGATATAAATCAGACATTAAGTTTTAAAGTAAAAGAGTTATAGTAGAAGCTGATTATTATATTAATTTCCTACATGTTTGTATTCTTATATTTTATGTTTAATATTACTTTTAGGAATTCATGAAGCATAATAGTCCACAACAGAATAAGAACTGCTTGAACAATTTTGACCTTTCAGAATACAGACAGATTCTCAGTGATGTGGCTATACGAATATATCATCAATTTATTATTGTAATGGAAAATAATATCCAACCAATAATAGGTAAGAAGAGAATTGATTGCCAAAAAATATAGTAACATTAAGACTTTTTAAAACAGAAACTTGCTATGTGTAATGTGTGCTTATGTGTAACATTGTTTAAAAAGCCAAGGAAATACAATCATGTAAATATTTACCTTTTAATTCTTTGCTTGCTTAAAATGATTCCATAAATAATAGTACACTGCTGGTAGTTTTCTTTCCAGAAGGATGATTTATCCCAAAGGAAAAAACTTGGGGAATCTTCTACCACGACTATTATGTAGTCCTTAAACTTCTTCGCTTAGCCAAGTATTTTTGAAATCCTAAAGTCCCATCTGAATTATTGTATACTTTCCTTAATTTTCTGAAATTTAAACACTTTAGGCTTTAATGCCCAGGCAATGAGTTGTCATGCTAACCGGATGTTTCCTGTGAAGCTGAAAAAAAATGCTGCTTCAAACCTAGAGCTTGAAGGGGAAACAGCTGCTCCAATCCCCACCCCTACCCTCCAATCCCCACCCCCCGACACACACACAACCTGGTGTCCCAAACCCTCGATTCTTTTGCTTTCCCTATCACAACTACATACCCTGACTCTTGTAGAAAAATGTTCTATCTCCCAAAACAGACAGAAGAGCGTCAGGAACGTTCCGTGCCTCTCCTAGCGTGTCAGCACAGCCTCCCTGTCTCTCCACAGTGCCGGGGATGCTGGAGTATGAGAGCCTGCAGGGCATTTCCGGCCTGAAGCCCACGGGCTTCCGGAAGCGCTCCTCCAGCATAGACGACACGGACGCCTATACCATGACCTCCGTCCTGCAGCAGCTGAGCTACTTCTACAGCACCATGTGCCAGAACGGCCTGGACCCAGAGCTCGTGAGGCAGGCGGTGAAGCAGCTCTTCTTCTTGATCGGGGCGGTCACGCTGAACAGCCTTTTTCTGCGCAAGGACATGTGCTCCTGCAGAAAAGGGATGCAGATCAGGTAAAACCCATAAACCGCCGCTCATGCAGGGTCCAGCAGAAAGGACATTCTTAAAATCCGAGGCCACGCACGCCTGACCATCCCTGCTGTGGCGTCAGACCCCTGTTTAGGCCCTACTGCTGAAGGAATATTCGAGTCAGCCTGAGCGTTCCGGGATGCTGGCGCCCAGGGCCTACTCCCCTCGCGCCACACCCTGCCAACGCGCTGGCCTAGCCACCTTAACCGAGAACCAGTAAATGTGTATCTTAAATTCTGGCCCTCTAGGATGATCATGCACTCAACCAGTAGTGACCACCTTCTCTCAATAGCACTGCCAGGCAGAGAACACAGAACAAGGAAAAATCGATATGATCCCTGCCCTTGAGGCGCTCAGAACAGCTAAATAATAATTAAAGGCGACTATGATTAAATTACAAACAAGTGGTGCAGGAAGTGCATCAGAGCCAAGAGATACTGCAGACAGAAAAGTTGGGGACGCCAGAGAGTTGTGCCTGGAGTGATACGGGAAACGGAGAAGACGTTCCAAGCAAGAGACATGGTCAGAGGCATTGGGGAGAGTGAGTGAGGACCCCTGCTCAGGCTGCATGTGGAGTAAGCAGAGGCTGGTGTGGGGAGTAGCAGAACCAAGGTAGAGAGGTAGGTGGATCCAGACTGGGAGGGTCTGGAATGCCAGGCTACGGCATTTGGAGTTCATCCTGAACACTTGGAAATCTAGTTTTGAAGTGTGTCTGTTATCTCTTAATTGAGAGACCATGGACCCTGAGCTTCTATTTGAATTAACACTGATCGGGCCGGGCGCGGTGGCTCAAGCCTGTAATCCCAGCACTTTGGGAGGCCGAGGCGGGTGGATCACGAGGTCAAGAAATCGAGACCATCCTGGTCAACTTGGTGAAACCCCGTCTCTACTAAAAAATACAAAAAATTAGCTGGGCATGGTGGCGCGTGCCTGTAATCCCAGCTACTCAGGAGGCTAAGGCAGAATAATTGCCTGAACCCAGGAGGTGGAGGTTGCGGTGAGCCGAGATCGCGCCATTGCACTCCAGCCTGGGTAACGAGCAAAACTTTGTCTCAAAAAAAAAAAAAAAAAAAAAACCCAACACTGATCAAGGGATTGGAAAACACATAAAATGGGATAGATATTTAAGTTTCTTATAATGTGTGCAAGAATTCGATACCTGTATTTGTTATGAGAACCTGGGGTAGTGATGACGGTAATGACGTAAGGGAAGGTGACAAAGAAAGTATCTATCATTATGCTAAGTGAAATAAGCCAGGCACAGAAAAACAAACATCAGACATTCTCACTTATTTGTGGGAGCTAGAAATTAAAACAATTGAATTCATAAAGATGGAGAGTAGAAAGATGGTTACCAGAGGCTGGGAAGAGTAGTGGGGGGCTGGGGAGAGGTGGGAATGGTTAATGGGTACAAAAAAAGATAGAAAGAATGAATAGCACAGCAGGGTAACTGTAATCAATAATAATTTAATTGTATATTTTAAAATAACTTAGAGGCCAGGCGTGGTGGCTCACGCCCATAATCCCAGCACTTTGGGAGGCCAAGGTAGGTGGATCACCTGAGGTCAGGAGTTCGAGACCAAACTGGTCAACATGGTGAAACCCCATCTCTACTAAAACTTTAAAAATTTGCCTGGCGTGGTGGTGCGCACCTGTAATCCTAGCTAGTCAGGAGGCTGAGGCAGGAGAATTGCTTAAGCCCAGGAAATCGAGGTTGCAGTGAGCCGAGATCACTCCATTACACTCCAACCTGGGTGACACAGTGAGACTCTGTCTCAAATAAATAAATAACAACAACAACAAAAAATAGAGTGTGATTGGACTGTTTGTAACTCAGCATAAATGCTTGAGGAAATAGATTTCCCATTTTCCATGAAGTGCTTATTTTACATTGCATGCCTGTATCAAAACATTTCATGGGCCGGCCATAGTGGTTCATGTCTGTAATCCCAGGACTTTGAGAGGCCAAGGTAGGTGGATCATTTGAGGTTAGGAGTTCAAGACCAGCCTGAGCAACGTGGTGAAACCTTTATCTCTACTAAAAATACCAAAAAAATTAGCTGGGCTTGGTGGTACATGCCTGTAATCTCAGCTCACTTGAACTGGGGAGCTGGAGGTTGCAATGAGCCAAGATGGCACCTCTGCACTCCAGCCTGGGTGACAAAGCGAGACTCCCTCTCAAAAAAACAAAAAAAAATTCATGTACCCCCTAAATATGTATACCTACTATGTACCCACAAAAATTTTTAATTTTTTTTAAATTTAAGTATCTTAAGTCAAAAAATACATGTGAGAGGCATCTTTTACACCCTTTTTAGCATTAGTGAAACTTGGAGTTGTAGTCAGTCCCCACAGACCATTCCCACAAATTCCCATGACACCAGGACGTGGTTTTCAGATAGGAAGGAGTATTCAGAAGGACTAGTCTTTGTGGATCTTTATCTCTTCGTTGAGAAATGAAAGAGTTATGTTTATTTCTCAAGCTCCAATCAGATATCCTATAGCCCTCTGTGGGAGGTTTCAGCCCTAAAGTAAAGACACATCAGAGCCTTTGCTAAACTCAATTCTCACTCCATCAGTGGGTCCCCCAAGACTGAGTAGAGACAAGAGTGAAAAGGATTATGAGGAAGACTCATGACTTTAGGTCTTAAAAACAACTTCTTTGAGGACAGGCAAACATCTGCCCCCTCAAGGTACCCAGTACTTTTTCCCTTCTACGAGGTGGAAGTAGCCATCAGAGAAGTAATACTTTGACAGTGCTGTGCTCTGAGTAGCATGTGCATTTTAGAGCCTTTCATTTATTCATTTGGATATTTGTTGAGTACCTGCCATAGCAAGGCCTACAGAGATTCTGAAGTGGCTTTACAATGAAAACACAAGCAATAATTTAATAAAACATGAACACAAGTAGAAAACTGTAAATAGAAGGAAAGAAAAGCACACTGCCATGTGTGTTCCTACGCAACTGTCTTGCATGCTCTGCTCATGTACCCCAAAACCTAAAATCCAATAAAAAATTAAAAAAAAAAAGAAAACTGTAAATAGTGGGCAGAGTAGCTTGAAAACTGGCTCTGGGCTTCCTAGCTGCCAGGACAAACAATAAAACATGCTCTTTGGTTTCATTGGGTATTATGAAGCAGAGCAGTTCCTGGGAAGATATAAAGATTTTCCTAGTACATAATTATTTTTAGTTCCTAGTCATGAATTACAAAAATAATGTCTCAGGTGGAACTTAATCTCATAATTACCGCATGAACGTTTTTGCAGCAGTTTCCATTGTGGCTGCTTTGCTCAGTGTCTCATGGAGACAGTTCTCTTACAGACTAGAATAATGCAGGCTGAGGAAATCTGGGGAGAATATGAAAGTCAAGGATTTGAGTCTTGAAGAGCAAGTAGGATTTCAACAGACCAAGAATTACAGGGTGAAATGATGGAAAACTGAAGGCAGAATATGAACAGCCCCTTTTGAATGGAGCACAATAGGAATGATAGAAAATTGGTTAGAAAGAGAGTGGAATGCTAGGGTGAGAAATGCATTGTTTTTGTTGCTGTTTGTTTGTCTGTTGTTTGTTTTGAGATGGGGTCTTATTCTGTGGGTAAGTGCAATGGTGCACTCCCAGGCTGGAGTGCAGTGGTGCAGCCTCCACCTCCCAGGCTTAAGTGATCCTCCCACCTCAGCCTCCCAAGTAGCTGGGCCCAAAGGCAAGTGCCACTATACCTGGCTAATTTTTTGTATTTTTGCTTGAGACAGGTTTTTGCTATGTTGCCCAGGCTGGTCTTGAACTCCTGAGCTCAAGCAATCTGCCCGCCTTGGCATCCCAAAGTTTTGGGATTATAGGCCTGAGCCACTGTGCCCAGCTGAGAAATGCATGCTTTCGTCCCTCAGCAGGGGCAACCACTACAGATGTTTTTCTTGAACAGGTTTGAATTATGAATTCAATTTCTTTAATAGCTGTAGGACTCTTCCGATTGTATATTTCATCTTACTTGAGTTTTGGTAGTTTGTGGTTTCCAAGGGATTGGTCCGTTTCACCTAATTTTCTGAGTTTATGTGCATAGAGCTATTTATAGTATTTCCTTCTTACCCTTTAATTTCTGCAGGATTGGTAGTGGTATTTGTCTTCCATTCCTGATACTGGTAATTTGTGTCTTCTGTTTTTCTATTGGTCAGATTTGCTAGAGGCTTAGTAATTGTACTGATTTTTTTCAAAGAACCACTTTTTGAATTCATTGATTCATTGATTTTTATTATTATTGGTATCATACTTTAAGTTCTGGGGTACATGTGCAGAACATGCAGGTTTGTTACATAGGTATACACATGCCACGGTGGTTTGCTGAATCCATCACCCCATCATCTACATTAGGTATTTATCCTAATGCTATCCCTCCCCTATCCCCCAACTCCCTACTATCCCTCTCCTAGCTCCCCACCTGCTGACAGGCCCTGGTGCATGATGTTCCCCTCCCTGTGTCCATGTGTTCTTACTGTTAACACCCACTTATGAGTGTTTGGTTTTTTATTCTTGTGTCTGTTTGCTGAGGATGATGGTTTCCAATTTTATTCATGTACCTGCAAAGGACATGAACTCGTCCTTTTTTATGGCTGCATAGTATTCCATGGTGTATATGTACCACCACATTTTCTTTATCCAGTCTGTCATTGATGGGCATTTGGATTGGTTCCAAGTTTCTGCTATTGTGAACAGTGCTGCAGTAAACATATGTGTGCATGTGTCTTTATAATAAAATAATTTATAATCCTTTGGGTATATACCCATTAATGGGATTGCTGGGTCAAATGGTATTTCTAGTTCTAGGTCCTTGAGGAATCACCACACTGTCTTCCACAATGGTTGAATTTACAACAGTGTAAAAGTGTTTCTATTTCTCCACATCCTCTCCAGCATCAACTGCCTCCTGATTTTTTAATGATCACCATTCTAACTGACATGAGATGGTATCTCAATGTGGTTTTGATTTG